CACTACTGTCAAACCAGGGTTGATGTGAATGCTTGTGCAGATAAGCACAGCTTTCTTGTACTGTAAAGCACCAAGCACAGTTATTTCACAAACAGGCCGACCAGTTGGGATAACAACTTTTTAGTGATTATTGGGGGAAGGGTGGGAGAACAAGCTTATCTAAACTTAAAATAGGAAAACCAATTGATAATATTTGTGCGAAGAACCCCGCCTGGCAACCCCCAACTGAAATAGCAATAGATCTGTAGCCTACTCTGACAACTTTAGGCACATGCCAGGAGATTCTTGTCCCTAGTTCTCTCTTGATACATTGCTGCTCCCAAATAGGCTTGTCCCAGAGTTAGCTTTCAATTGTGCTTTTTGCAATTATTCATCACTTCAAGAACTCTTACAGTGCCAAACGCTTCATCCCTTTCCTATGTGCTGCCATTACTGAGACGTGCGTTCTCTTCTTGTCCTGCTCTTCAGGCCAGGCTTTCACTGTGCACTCCATTTTCAGGTTGTACCTCATGCATGCTGAGGAAGTGTGTGGAGTTGCCAGGGCTAGACTCCATCAGAGAGGGACAATGAAGTTACTATTGCCCTGATTCAGAGGGGTGGGCAAAAAGGAATTGGCTCTCCAAACACATCTTTGTCCCTTTCTAGAACCATCCCTAATGGGTGGTTTTACTGTGATCTGTCCCCCCAGATGTTTAGAGCATCTAAACAAAGCTTTAATCTGGGCAGCTCTCCTGACTGTGCTACTTTGGTTTGGAAACAAATTGCAAGGTGCTGTCCCACTGCCAACAGGAAGCACAATGTTGAGCTATTGGCCTGAATTTTCCTGCGAGTGCCAAGTAGGTCACAAAAAGGAGGACACCTACAGACCAATGTGTGAATAAGGCTGTTTGCCCCATTCCCTCATTGACACATGCAATCTAAATGCAGGGGCTGAAAACTTTTTCAAACATAAGCTGTTTCTCCACTGGGTTCTCCTATGGGAAAGTTAGGACAACCAGCATCATCAACTTCCAGAAACCAATTTCCACCCAAAATGGGACAATGTGAAGGAAAGCTACTGGATCATAGTTCAACACTGTTGTATTGGACGGGATTTCTATAATCAGATTATTGTAGGGACACACAATCGTGGTATACTGGGTCTGGACCTCTGCAGAGCAAAACAATCACTGGGTTACTTCATAGATGAAAACAAGCCTAGTCTCATACATCACAGGGATAAAGTCAGCAGAGAGTGCACAGCTGGCATTCGCTTTGCTTCCCTCCAATGATAATTGGACTGGAGTCTTCTTCACGCCTAGAGATATCACTAATAAAAAAAGAGGACCAAATATCACAAAGCCCAGACTGAACTATAACAGACTCTAAGAATGGATTGCAGGAGTAATTCCTTACATATTGCTATTATGGAGAGACTAAGACAAGCCATACCATATGGCCAAGATTCCTGTTTCACCTCTGCAGCACTCAGTAGCAACAGCAGTATTTCTATAGCACTGAAGGGGTACAGTTCCTAAGCTTGTTTATGAATTTGTGGTTGGGCAGCCTTCTCTTAGTGAGAAATTTATATAACATTTATAGGTTTAATAATACACACCTGTCCTCATTCTGTTAGGCAAGCACACTGGCAGAATCTGCAAGCTCTGGCATTTCCAGTGATCACTGCTCAGGCTATTCCAAGGTGCCTGGCCTTCTCATGCCCACTAGTGATTAGCCAGGTAGTCATGTGGTTAAAAACCCAGTCCTCTCCCACTACACTTGAAAAAAGGAACAAGGCACAGTTTTAAATCACTGAGTATTGACTTTATTATTAGTCACTTCATAATTTGTTTCAACTGAAAGACAATACACACAGCAGAATTCTAATGCATCCCATGTAAATGTTTACATCTGTTATGCTCCTCACTCACCTCTAAGACTTAGCATTTAATTAAATTTTTTTCACATCTCAAAAATCTGCAATAGTTAGAACGTCATCAGGCTCCCCTCTCAGAAAGGGCTTTTTTTTTTTTTTTTTTAAATACAGTCAAGGAGATGGGATGGGATTCCATGTAAAATGTAACTTACAACTTCAGGAAAGAAAAAAGACTACAGGAATAAAGTGAGTTCACAGAGGGAAGCATCCAATGGCTCCTTCCCTCACAGCCCCCAAGCAGAAAATGAACACATGGAAAGCACACCAGGAGGTCTAAAAAAGCCATCCTTGCTGCTCCAGAACCAGTCCTAGGGAAAGGAATGAAATGCCTGTCCCAGATGCTTCAGCATCTTCTGGGTTAAATATCCAAGGATCTGTGTAGGCAGCAGCTACTCACTGCTATTGCTTGAAAGAGTTGTTCACATCAATTCCATGTGCCGTTCCCCCAAGAAGCTGCACAAAATCAAATCTCAGGACTTTTACTTGCCTCCTTCCCATCTCCTCTGCCTTCAGCCTGATACAGCTCCTATTCCTTCTGCTGTCTCATGGCTCAAAGATATTAATACATTCACTAGAGGGGGAGGAATAAAAAGACATTCACCCCCTTCTCCTAGCCCCAAACTCTCTATGCAGAGTGTTAGAAAGGTTAACTTTAAGTCTGTATCCTGCTCTCAGCACTGTCCCCCTACATTAAAATGGGAAGGATGTCATCAGATGTGGCAGTCAGCCAGACGTGTACAACTGTCCCATTCCATTGGTGTGAACGTAAACAGTGCTCAAAGCACTTTACAGAGGTGGGCAAGTATTATTACACCCAAGTTACAAAAAAGGAAACAGGACAGGGGTTTAAGAGACCTGTCCAGGGTCAAGTAGCAGACAAAGGGATTGATCACTAAGTGTGCGCGGGGGGTATGAAACTTTCTCTCACTCTGGTATGGTATTAGGACCATTATCCCTAGCAAGAGGAAGGCAGAGACCTCCAAGGACAATGGAAATGCTTAGCCTCTTCATAAGGATTATCTCACAGCCAAGGGATGGCCTCAAACTGAACGTCCTACAGGTGTACAATCCACACCACTCACCCTGCCACATGCATTCTCCTGAACTTAGTCAGGAGACTCAGGACAACTGCACCAAAACTGTGTCAAGTGCAGAGAGCTCCATACATATACAAACATCTCTTCCATGGAATGAGGCTGAAGAGGAGCCAAGCACACAGGAGGAATTTATCCCTACAAGCTTTCCATTTGGAAAGCTACTGGCAAAACACATGCTGCTCCAGAAGAGAGGAAGTAACGGCACCTGAAGCAATGAGGTATTCGGCTTCCAGCTGTACAGCAGTCAACGGGCCAGAGTGACCATTGCTTCCGCAGCATTAGCTCTGTCCTCACTAATGCTCCAGCATCACTGCTCTTCCTATGAAAAAGAAACTATTGAAGTGCAGCAGTCTTCACAGTAATGAGCGACTTTGTGCAGGTGCAGCCTTCACTGAGGCGAATGGGAGAGTTCATGGGAACGAAGGCACAGACTTAGCCTGATATCTGAACGCGTTTCTGAACCAGAGAGATGCTCATCATCCCCCTCACTTGTGGCTGAAGTGAATGGGAAGTAACGCTCAGCACTTCCAAGAATGGACCCTTATACAGCTGTTAAATAGTACTGGGCTGCCTGTATCCTCCCGCTTCTGTCTGAAGCAGACACCTCATCCTCGATGATTAGGCCAAGACATTGCTCTTGTAAATGCTACAACCCAGGATCAGTTCTGTTCTCAAGGGAGACACTGTGTGGTTTAGCTTATTCTTCCTATAGTCTCAAGCAGATGCCAATGCCAGCAGAATGCTAGAGAGCTTCTATTCTAATCAAAAAGGCCTTAGCTGATCCCCTCCAAATGTTGGAAGGCAAAGAGATGGCCTCCATGAGTAAGAGATAAACTAGTGCTGCTGCAGGGACCTACCCATCAATCACACTGCTAAGCCTTGTGCCAATTTGACAGTATTATTTAACACCATTTAAAAAAGCAATCTGAACATAAATCTTTAATGACCACTTTTCAAAGGCAGAGCAGCTCTCCCTACTTTCTCTAAATAACCAGTGTCCCACACATGCATGCAGTCTCACAGAACCCAAGGCTATAACCTGCTCTGACCACCCATCAACAGTTAGCAAACATCAGGTCCTGCATCCAAATTAGTTACACTGACAGATGGAAACGTTTCCAGTGAAGACCAGCACCTGGTGTCAGTCCTTTGTAACCACCTGAAGGGTACAGGTCTCAGGATCACTGACGGCTCATCATCTAGAAGGCTCTAAGGGAGAAGTAAAGCAGATTTGCTACCAGTTTCCTTTGAGAAAGCATCAGGGTTGGAGAAAAGACTCTACTCAACATGCCAATATGCTCAAGGGATGAAAATCCAAGGTGTGCCCCCTCCCTTTCCCCAGTCTTGGAGGGTGCTGAACACCATACATAGCTGCCCTCTCTCTCGCTATGGGCCTTGGCTCCCATTCTTCACCTCTCCACAGAGGTTCATGAAGCCACTACCTGGCTGACACTGCATACTAAAAAACACACAGTGCAGCAATACATAGTTCTTCTCTGGAAATCACTGACATAGCTCTGAAGAGCACTAGACCTGAGGTCTTCGGACCCATATGCTCAAGAAACTGGCCTCCACACAAAGAACAGCTTGCTTAGTTACTTTCAATTTGAGAATAAATGTAGGTGCCACATCGGATTGACATGGACTTCACTGAAAGGGGAGCAAGGAGCAACAGGGTTTTGTTACACCACCATTAAGTACAAAGTGGGAAAGGTCTCTTTAAACTGCATGGTCTTTATTTCAGTGCCAGTGTTACAGATACAATAGAAACATCCCAGTCAGAAGAATGAACTTGGATGGAATCCAGGGGTCTATGACAGGCTTAGGAAATGAAAGGGGGGAAGGGTCTGGAGTAACAGGGAAAAGTGACTTTGCAGTGTAGTCTATGCTGAGCCTCCCAGCAGGCAATGGGGCCTATTATCAAAAAGAGTGGAACGTTGCCTTTCTACCCACCTACCACAGCCAACAGTCAAGGGACTGGACAATAAGAGAGTTTTGAAATTTTGGGCATGGTGTAGGTTGGAGCTCTAGGTCTCTGATCCATTGTGATGCTTTCGAGATAGCTACAGAAGAGCTATTGTGAGTCTGCATGGCTGGAACCAATGATGGAAAGTGAAGGAAATGGAAGTGTCAGGGCTTCACGTTCAAATATAGCACCAAATCAACTGGATCAGATCTCATCAGCATCACTTTTCCCGCGCTCTGTCCCTGACCTGCTGTTGGTATCGTATCGCTAAGGTGTCTGTGTGTATACAGCAATGCACAGAATAGGTCACTAGGAGCCTACAGCCTCTTCACACATTGGGGAAACCGAAAGAAAAAAGGCAGGGCTCCCTAATGGTCCTGGAGAAGCTTTTCCCCCAAACCCCAGATGAAAGTGCCTGAAGATGGTAACCCAGCTAGTAATGACTCAAAACCCACCTTACCCACCCCACGGAAAGAAGGCAGCAGAAGGAAGGGACAGCTGCTCACTTGCTGCACAGGGGCAGGAGGGGGGAGGAGAGAAAAAAGTGTTTCCTTGCAAGCAATTCCAGGCCTCTCTTCCAAATGAGCTGCATGTTTCTTGGGGGGGAAGGGGAATGTTGCTTCCGGCTGTGAATGCATGGGGGAGTGCAGAGCAGACTCCACAAACAGCAAGCCTCATCAGTGGAGGGGAGGAAATTAGTCTCAACAGATATGCTTCAAAATCAGCAATCACTTCCGGAAGATTCCTCCTCATCAGCAGGTCTCATCGTTCCCCAGGTCCATGGTGCAGTTTGGGGGATTGCCAGGGATCAACCTTCTTCCCAGAGTTCCTTTGATTGGGTGGGGTGAGTAAGAATGGTGCCAGAGCCTCACTGCCACGACTGAGGGGGGAAGTTGTTGACTTCTGCTAGATCCTGCATTGCTGAGCCCTTGTGATTATAGGTCAACTTGATCCGCATACGTAGTTGTTGCTACAAGAGGAGAGGAAAAAACAAGATCAGGGTCTTCTTCAGTAAACCCCAAACTCACAAACCCTCCCACCAGCTCTCTCACCCCATGGAACCTGATCGGTCACCTCTGGAGGAGGTAGGGATTCATCACTAGCATTATCCCATCCTGTGGGGACACTTGTGTCACACGGGCTGCTAGGGTGTGTCTCAACAGGCAGTTAATCTGGTAGGATGATACTCACTTAAAGCTAATGCTGATCGAAAACAGGCAAGAGCTTTCTAATCCTCAAGTCCCTCTCCTGGAACCCTGTAGAAGCCTTAAAGCATAGCTCGTTTTCCAACCTGTGCACCCGCATAGGGCTCAGTCTGCCCTGCCCTGCCCCCCATCCTTCTCCTCCACTGTGCACTTCAAGGCAGCTGGCCCACCCCAGGTACTGGCGGCTGCTGGCCAGCTCTTGGGCTCGCAGGCTCTGCGGGACGAGTCCCCTGTCTAAGTCCTTGCATCTCCTCCGCTGCGTATTGCACAGTCTGCAGGGCAGGCTCTGTCTCAGGTGCCTGATGGTGCTCCATGTGACACTATGTACATTTAATTATCCAATTTCCATACAACCATAAACTTCGACTTTAAAACTGGAAAAAGGCATCAGCTGGACAGCCCTGAGGAATGAAGCTGTTTGGGAGCCTGGCAGTGCTGCTGCCCTATAGGTAAACAGACACTGCCCTGTGAGGGGGCAGCAGTTCAATCTCCATTGCCCATGCAGTTCCTAGCTTGTCGCCAACTAATGCAAAGCCTAGTGATTTGTGAGGTGAGGGCTGGAACTGAAACCAAATTCGTCTTCTATGGGACCAGACGTCTGTGAGATGGAAATAATTCTTTATCCCTACCAAGCTGGGCAGGGTTCAGAAAGGTTTGGAGCCCACCAGCAATACCCTGAGGTACCTTGTCCAAGAGGACATGCTGTATAGATCTATAATAGGCTATTGCCAATGAGTTATATTAAAAGGACATTCAGGTTGCACAGCCAAGCACTCAAAAGTCAGGAAGTGCCAGAATTAAGGCTGCCTTGGCAACTGTAATTCTACTTACTCCCTTGTCCTTATGTGTTACGATACCGTCTTTAATTGCATGAGCACATGCTATTTATTCCACAGGACCCCAGCCTGATTCAAATGCATGACCTCACTTGACAGGAATGAAGAGGAAACAGCCTCAAGAACCATGAGAAAGGGGACATCCCCGTCCCCCTAAGCCGTAGAGAATACAGTGCTACTGAAGCCCATGGCAAAGGGAAATTGTGTTTCTTTCTCCAGGCCTGTACTGAACCTCCGCAAGCACCGCAGAGAAGTGGTTCCCAATTTGTCTCTCTCCACACTCTAAACTATGGCTCCAAAGGGCAACTCTGTTAAGAAGAAGGTTTATATTTGATTATAAACTGAATGTGCCTGTGAGCACATCCTGTGAAGTGTCTGAGTCAGACCCACCACCTACCCTGCAGCCCTTGGAGCAGCTGAGAGCTGGCCCTTCCCTGCTGAAGATGCTCAGCAGCTCCCTTGCAGGCTGCCCACTGTATTGGAGGGAAGAGACGCTTCCCTGCTAGGCTGTGGGAGCCCCAGGGAGAATAGAATAGGAGCTCAACTGGCTGTCCCTGAGCTCTGGGGTGAGCCCCAAGATAGGACACCTCTTCCCACACCCCAGCATAGCCAAGAACCAGTTACCACTCCCTAATTCTGTGTCCCAGCCCTGGGATACAGTATAGCAGAGCAGACGCTGTTTTAAGTTGCACCAGCTGGCCATGGCCCAAGGCACCATATGCCATCTAATTAACAGTCAGAGCCCAGCATGCTCCAATCAATTCCTGTCCCCAAAGCACCTCCTGGGCCAGGGGCTGCAAGGCAGACACACAAGGAGCTGATGCTCTGGTTCTCCACCCTCCGGGGATTCCGCAGCAAGGAACATGTGTGGCCTCCATTGCCTTGTGAGAGCTGAGCAGCGCAAGGGAGCACAACAGGACAAAGAATCCGGCCTAAAATACTGAGCGTGGCTTTTAGCCTCTTTGAAATAATATATCCAGCCTTAGCCGAAAGAGGTTGGGCATCACCAGTACAGGGTACTGTTTGGCTGATACTGGCCAGTAAACTACATGTTCCTGACATTTAACGTTGCTCTGACAAGCTTGCCATTTTGCTAAAAGAAAAGTGGGACTCTATGGGAAGCGAATGGCCTTACACATTAACTATGCACCAAAAGAAACCAAAGAAGAACAGGCAATTTCATCCAAGCCTTCCACCATCTCAGAAAGTCCATTCCACAGGCCCCCAATGGTCAGCTTTAACCAGCAGCAAAGGTAGCCCATGCCAGGCTACAGAGTAGTTACCAGGCTTTGAGTGCTTATAAGGAAACAAACCACTGGAAATGGCTTCTGGACAATGTGCCATTTTCACCGTCAATGCTGATGCCCTTTCCTCAACACACCCAAAACAATTAGTCTCGGTCCTGGACCGACACCCTGCAAAGCTGTATTTACAGAGGAGAACTGAGCATGAGGTGGCAGATGCGCCAGACATGAAGGCTAGTGCCAGTGATGGAAATGATGCAGGGTCAGTTTCAGAGAGATTTTGGTCAAAAGCATGGAACAGCCAAACACTATTTTGATACACAGGGTTGGTCTACACTGAACAGTTACATCAGCATAACTATGTCTCTCAGGGGTGTGAAAAATCCACACCCCTGTAAGATGTAGCTATGCTGACTTAACCATGGTGTAGACAGCACTAGATCAACTGAAAAATTCTGTTGCCTCTCGGGGAGATGGATTACCTACAGCGCCAGAATCCCTCCTGTCATTGTAGTGTCTACGCTGAAGCACTACAGCAGGTGAAGCTGTGCCACTGTAGCATTTCAAAATGTAGACAAAGCCTTAGCAACTAGAAGTGGCCTCTGTGACGAACTGGGACTGTTCTTAATGTGGTCTTGGAATGCTGACAGGGGAGTGTGGCTAGGATGGTCTGCATTGGGGGATGGGCCTCAACTGGAGTATTTGTGTCCAGTTCTGGGTGCCACATTTCAGGAAGGATGTGGACAAATTGGAGAAAGTCCAGAGAAGAGCAACAAAAATGATTAAAGATCTAGAAAACCTGACCTATGAGGGAAGATTGAAAAAATTGGGTTTGTTTAGTCTGGAGAAGAGAAGAAAGAGGGGACATGATAACAGTTTTCAAGTACATAAAAGGTTGTTACAAGGAGGATGGAGAAAAATTGTCGTTCTTAACCTCTGAGGATAGGACAAGAAGCAAAGGGCTTAAATTGCAGCAAGGCAGGTTTAGGTCGGATGTTAGGAAAAATTTCCTGTCAGAGTGGTTAAGCACTGGAATAAATTGCCTAGGGAGGTTGTAGAATCTCCATCATTGGGGATTTTTAAGAGCAGATTGGACAAACACCTGTCAGGGATGGTCTAGATACTTAGTCCTGCCTTGAGTGCAGGGGACTGGACTAGATGACCTCTCGAGGTCCCTTCCAGCTCTATGATGCCCTCCATTAGCACCAAGTGCTGTGCTTTGGATGATTGTTAGTTGTTTAAAAAAAGCCTCGTCCACCTCTTCTTCCTGGTTAGGTAGTCTGTAATAGACCTTACAATGACATCACCCTTGGTTTTTACCCTTTTATCTTTACCCAGAGACTTTCAACCAGTCTGGCTCCTATTTCCATCTCAACCTCAGTCCAAGTGTATATAAAATGATTATAGGCTCTTTCAAAAAAGGGACTCTAAAGCTAGCACCATGGAGTCACATACTCTGATTCCATGTCAGACGGGCTCCCTTCTGTGCCGCAGAATTAACTTGGAACCTAGTTACTATTGGGAATGATCAGATTGGCATCATTTACAAGTAAAAAGATACTACTTTTAACTGACAGCTTTGCAAATGGCACCTGGGATCTGAAAATCTTTCCACCTTGTGCATCAACTCCATAATAGGTTTCAGAGGGGTAGCTGTGTTAGTCTGTATCAGTAAAAACAACGAGGAATCCTTAGAGACTAACAAATTTATTTGGGCATAAGCTTATTGTTTAAACTCCCTAATACGAACATTTGACATACTCTGATTGCAGGACAAGCATTAATTAACCCTTGCCAACCTGGAAGAAAGGCAAGAACATAACAACGGCCGTACCGGGTCAGACCAAAGGTCCATCTAGCCCAGTATCCTGTCTACCGACAGTGGCCAATGCCAGGTGCCCCAGAGGGAGTAGACCAACAGGCAATGATCAAGTGATCTCTCTCCTGCCATCCATCTCCACCCTCTGACAAACAGAGGCTAGGGACACCATTCCTTACGCATCCTGGCTAATAGCCATTAATGGACTTAACCACCATGAATTTATCCAGTTCTCTTTTAAACGCTGTTATAGTCCTAGCCTTCACAACCTCCTCAGGTAAGGAGTTCCACAAGTTGACTGTGCGCTGCATGAAGAAGAACTTCCTTTTATTTGTTTTAAACCTGCTGCCTATTAATTTCATTTGGTGACCCCTAGTTCTTGTATTATGGGAATAAGTAAATAACTTTTCCTTATCCACTTTCTCCACATCACTCATGATTTTATATACCTCTATCATATCCCCCCTTAGTCTCCTCTTTTCCAAGCTGAAGAGTCCTAGCCTCTTTAATCTCTCCTCATATGGGACCCGTTCCAAACCCCTAATCATTTTAGTTGCCCTTTTCTGAACCTTTTCTAGTGCCAGTATATCTTTTTTGAGATGAGACCACATCTGTACGCAGTATTCGAGATGTGGGCGTACCATCGATTTATATAAGGGCAATAATATATTCTCAGTCTTATTCTCTATCCCCTTTCTAATGATCCCTAACATCCTGTTTGCTTTTTTGACCGCCTCTGCACACTGCGCGGACATCTTCAGAGAACTATCCACGATGACTCCAAGATCTTTTTCCTGACTGGTTGTAGCTAAATTAGCCCCCATCATATTGTATGTATAGTTGGGGTTATTTTTTCCAATGTGCATTACTGTACATTTATCCACATTAAATTTCATTTGCCATTTTGTTGCCCAGTCACTTAGTTTTGTGAGATCTTTTTGAAGTTCATCACAGTCTGCTTTGGTCTTAACTATCTTGAGCAGTTTAGTATCATCTGCAAACTTTGCCACCTCACTGTTTACCCCTTTCTCCAGATCATTTATAAACAAGTTGAATAGGATTGGTCCGAGGACTGACCCTTGGGGAACACCACTAGTTACCCCTCTCCATTCTGAGAATTTGCCATTAATTCCTACCCTTTGTTCCCGGTCTTTTAACCAGTTCTCAATCCATGAAAGGACCTTCCCTTTTATCCCATGACAACTTACTTTACTTAAGAGCCTTTGGTGAGGGACCTTGTCAAAGGCTTTCTGGAAATCTAAGTACTCTATGTCCACTGGATCCCCCTTGTCCCCATGTTTGTTGACCCCTTCAAAGAACTCTAATAGATTAGTAAGACACGATTTCACTTTACAGAAATCATGTTGACTATTGCTCAACAGTTTATGTTTTTCTATGTGTCTGACAATTTTATTCTTAAATATTGTTTCGACTAATTTGCCCGGTACCGACGTTAGACTTACCGGTCTGTAATTGCCGGGATCACCTCTAGAGCCCTTTTTAAATATTGGCGTTACATTAGCTAACTTACAGTCATTGGGTACAGAAGCCGATTTAAAGGACAGGTTACAAACTTTAGTTAATAGTTCCGCAACTTCACATTTGAGTTCTTTCAGAACTCTTGGGTGAATGCCATCTGGTCCCGGTGACTTGTTAATGTTAAGTTTATCAATTAATTCCAAAACCTCCTCTAGTGACACTTCAATCTGTGACAGTTCCTCAGATTTGTCACCTACAAAAGCCGGCTCAGGTTTGGGAATCTCCCTAACATCCTCAGCCATGAAGACTGAAGCAAAGAATCCATTTAGTTTCTCTGTAAGCATTAAAGGTATCCTGCAAATGGAAAATATTGGTCTTGACCCTGTTTCTATTGCTTTATGATGAACATAGTTGGCCTCAACTTTTTAAAGAAAGTATCTTTTGTTTTCTCCATTAGAAATTCAGGTCTTTTCAACCCTGGAAGCCTCTGTGATGACTGTAAAACTGAGAGAATTATGACATCCCAGGAGACAAAGTCACAGCAGTTGAGAGGAAGGGATTTTTAGTCAAAATGTTTAAAACTGCTTAATTTCATTCTTTATAACACACATTAAACTCCAAGCACTATGAACACTCCAGTGAAAGCCTGCCTTTGCTCAAGATTAAGGATCAAGTAAGTTCTCAATATACATCTGAGACGCTAGGAAATGCTCCAGCAGGAAAGACCAGGCTTGGCATTCCTAAGGTTAAAAAGGCACCATCCTTTCAGGTTGCCTTTATGCATCAGAGATCCAGGGTACAAACGCAATATCCATTTCCTTTGTAAGCCACCTCAAGAAAGATTCTGCACTCAGAACTTGTTTAACATTCTGTGGGTGATGCCTAAAACAGAAGAGGCCTCAGGATCTTTTGCCAAAGGCTGAACTGGCTCCATGGGGCCAACAGGAGCGCAGTGAGGTAAGGTCAAAAGATAATTAAGTCCAAAGCTGACTGTGAGGAATTACAAGGGATCTCACTAAACTGGGTGACTGGGTGGCAAAATGGCAGATGAAATTCAATGTTGATAAATGCAAAGTAATGCACATTGGAAAAACTAATCCCAACTATACATCCAAAATGATGGGATCTAAATTAGCTGTTACCACTCAAGAAAGAAATCTTGGAGTCATCGTGTATGACTCTGAAAACATCCGGTCAATGTGCAGCGGCAATCAAAGAAGCTAACAGAATGTTAGGAACCATTAGGAAAGGGACAGATAAGACAGAAAATCTCATAATGCCACTATATAAATCCATGGTGCGCCCACACCTTGAATACTGAGTGCAGTTTTGACCATCCCATCTCAAAAAAGATATTAGAATTGGAAAAGGTGCAGAGAAGGGCAACAAAAATTATTAGGGGTATGGAACAGCTTCCATACGAGGAGAGAATAAAAGACTGGACTGTTCATTAAATAAATAAATAAATAAATAAAAAAGATGACTGAAGGGGGATATGATAGAGGTCACTAAAATCATGACTGGTGTGGAGAAAGTGAATAAGGAAGTGATATTTACTCCTTCTCATAACATAACAACCGGGGGTCATCCCATGAAATTAATAGGCAGCAGGTTTAAAACAAACGTAAGGAGGTACTTCTTCACACAAGGCACAGTCAACTTATGGAACTTGTTGCCGGCTATGTTGTGAAGGCCAAAAGTATAACTCAAAAAATAATTAGAAAAGTTCACGGAGGATAGATCCATCAATGGCTATTAGCCAAGGTGGACAAGTATGCAGCCACAAGCTCTAGGTGTCCCTAAACCTCCAACTGCCAGATGGCACTGGAGGACAGGGGATGCACTACTCAATAATTGCCCTGTTCTGTTCACTCCCTTTGAAGCACTTGGCACTGGCCACTGTCAGAAGACAGGATACTGGACTAGATGGACCTTTGACCTGACCCAGTATTGCTGTTCTTATGATAAGTCATTGGATTCACCCAGGGAAAAGGTCTGTTTTTCCATAGTCCTTTTCTGGCTATAACTACACTACATTGCCAAGGTGGGTGAAGTAATATCTTGTCTCTCTAATATCCTGAAAACATGGCTACATCAATACTGCAATCATAACCACACTGTCACACCACCAGCGATCATTCCCCAGGAACAAGCCTGAAAACTCTGCTTGAGAACAAGCAGCACTAAACCCCGTCTCCCAAACAGCCATGAGAACCAGGTTCAGGAATGCCTTCTACCAGTGGACTGCTCACCTTCTGTGGGTTCAGAACTTTGATGACCTGTGTGATGGTCCCCGTGTTAAATGCTGGGATGCTGCTGCTGCTGGGAGACAGAAGCTGCAGCTGGAATGTCTGAAGAAAAGGGAAAAGACTTTCAAAAAGATGATTTCACCAAGCATTTAGCAGATACAGCTACACTGCCACACCAAGTGGGGGAGGAAAGAATCTCCTGCTGTTTACAGCAACGGTGAAAGCACTACTGAGACACTGCTTTAAGGGAGTTCCTTGGTCCTTTCTCCTTTTAGAGAGGTCAGGAGCACGCATGCCTGCACCACTCAAGAGGCCAGAGGGTTTTCATCTCTCCTGCTTTCTCACAGGCTGAAATCAGATTGACATAACTGCTGGCAGATGAGGAGGAGCCTCACTGCTCTGATGACAGAACTGCTTCTGCTGTGCTCATGAGCAAACAGCCTGATAACCATAGGAATGATTCTGCCACAAGGCTGAGTCGCACTGGTTTCCAGGGAGAAAGGCACTGTCTCCATTCTAACCACAATCCGAGACCAGCTCTGCACACACAACCAGGCAGCCAGCTCTCACTTGGAGAGCTGCTAAGTAGACATGCATGCACAAGTTTTCCCAACTCAGCCAAACCAAACTGGATTGTCTCTGGGACACAGGAAGGCACCTTTCCTCCTACCAAGTTTCATCTTCTTACTCCCACCTGCTTCAGAGTGAGAGCTGTTCAAAGGGCTCTTCTGGCTGTTGATAACGAGGAGAGTGTCTCGTTCTGTGTTCAATCAGACTTCCCAGAAGGATCCCCCCCCAGCCCCAGGCAGAGCCAGCCCTGTGAAAGCTCAGCCCTAAAGGGACCTGCTCAGAAAAGTTATGCTCAACTCTAAATACCATCTTAGAACAGGACTATTTGGGCAGCTTGAGATCTAACAGCTTTAACTCCTCCTTATGCTTCTTGGAGCTTCGCTTCCTCTGTGCAGAAGGGGCAAAACAATAGCAAGAATTTGGAAAGAGACAGGGGGCTAGCCACCCAGCCAGTCATGGCAGCTCTACCTTTGGTACCGCAGCCTGGAAAACAAAGTCTGTCATATCCAGTTCTGTGCTGTTGGAGGCTTGTATCGTGATCACGGTGACGCTGGGGTTGGTGTTCGATCTCTCAAAGGTGAACTCTATCTTCAGCCCATTCTTGCTGTATGCTGTGATGGAGGGGATGCCTGCAGCCGAGGGACAAGAGCAGCAGCCCAGTAAGGACCTGGAGACCATTCTCAATGTCAGCAGGGCCACCTGCCGCCCCTAAACCCTATGCCCAGAATGTAGAGAACTGCTCTCCTTCTCCCCCTTATTCCATCTCCTCCTTCACCCCTTCATCACACATTGCTCCTGAGCGCTCCCAAATCCTCCTCCTTGTTACCAGACCCCCAATGGTTACAACAGCTTTATGTGCTCAGGGTTCCTATGCTCCTACCAGCAGCAATATCATTGAAGAGAGGCTGTGATGAGAGCCCATCCAACAGGAACGGAGGCTGCGATATCTGTGGGGCAGGGACCGGGGCTGGAGAAGCTAGAGAAAGCAGGTTAGAAGAAGGTAGAGTTTAGCTAGCAGGAAGTGTAGAGTGGCTTTTCCCAGCTCAAGGATTAGCTAGAAGGGGCATGCTATTTTTACAAACAAGAAACCCAACAAGGCCATCTCCTCTCCCCAAGGATGACCTCAATCTCAGCCATCACCAGCAAGGGGTCTCTCCTCTCAAGCCAGCAGGTCTCCAGGCAGAGAGAACCCCCTCTCCGCCCTCTTGATCCTCTCCTGCCAGGCTGAGAACCTGTCCCAGGACAGAGGAACACTCATCTCACTCCAACGCATTTCCCACCGTCTCCATATTAGCCTTGGACCAAGAGCAAGCAATGCCAATGAACCTCCCCCCCCCCGCCAAAGGAATGGGGAATTTCCCTGCCTCCCCTGCAGAAGACCCTATCCCTGGAAAAAGGACATGGAAGAATGCCCCTCATACCCTGGCCCAGCTCCTCCTACCAGGCTGAGGGACCTGGACTACCCCTCAATAGCTGCGGCCTGGTCTCACCTGTTAGGTTGAGATCTCCCAGGAGGTCAAGGAGCTCCCCACCGGCAGAGGATGGCTTGCTTGTAGGGGCAGTTGGAATGACTGGGGTTATATCATTTCCTCCCAATAAGTCCAATAAGTCATTTGCCTAGTAAGAAAGCAATAAAACCCCCATTACCTACTCATCTCCCTGCTACCTTTGCTTTTACCTGTGACAAACGCCACTTGCTCTCAGATGAAAAGGTCCCTCTCTCAGTGATCTGCCTGTGAAGCTCTTACACTAGTCTCGGACTAATGCTGACAATTTGCGCTCAGCACCTTAAGCTATCTAGTTTCCAGGGGTCTCAGGAAGACAGCGGGAGGTACTGTGCCAAGGAGGGGAGGAGTTTCTGAATGCTGAGAGGCAGGTCACAACTCGTAGGTGGGATTTTACTCCATCCACCTCACCTGCTCCAGCCTGCACTACTGCTGTGGCACCTTCCCCTGATGCCAGTCCTTGACTCCCTTCTTTTGTTTGGGAATCAGCAGGGGGGAGACAGGTTGCATCAGGCAGTCAGACACAGGTCAGAGAAGCGGAGATGCCCTTGGCTTACTAGGGAGAGGGGAATAGTCTTCCAGCCCCTGGGTCTGACAGGACAGTGGGAGGGTTACACCAGTTGAAGAGAGCACCTTCCATTACCTGGCTGGTGGGCTGCAGCCCAGAGGGGGGAGGTTTGGTTTCCAGCACTGCTGGCTCTGTCTCTCCATTGGTCTGTACAATCTCAGTGGGGCCATTTGTGGTCACCTTTTCCATAACTGGCATTCTCTCAAGTAGGGCTGACCTGAAAGAAGCTGACATGGTTACACTCTGGGCCATCTACCCTGATCCCAGTCCAAAGTTCTTGAGATGGCAAGGATGATGTAAAGAGGGTGCCCGGCCTTTTGCTTTAGCTCTACGAGAAGAGTTGAATTCTGGGATCACACAACTGAGCTTGAGCTGATTAAAGACTGGGGCCACTCTCTCACCAGCATAAACCTGGTTATTGACAGGTATTTTCTTTATAGGCAATGCAGAGCCCTGCCCTGCACCTACAAGGAACAGGTCCCATTGCAGAGCTAGGATAGGGAAGCCCAAGACTCAGGGGGAGAAGACCTAAGCACACTGGGGCATGGGAGGGAGTGCTCACAGATGCCGCTGAGTTAGAGCAACTGACTGCGTTTTCCGGGCAGGAATGTTTATCCAGCACAAGGCATGGTGATGGAATGGGGAAGACAAGCACCCACGCAGCAAACTTACCCAGGTTCCAGTCTTTCAGGAGAGCTACTAGGTAACAGTCTGAACACAGAGAGATTGTGTGTGTAGAAGGGGTGGATGGGAGGTAATGGGAGGAAAGATGGGATGCAGGACATGCTACCAAAGTCAAAGAGATGGAAGATGAGAGCCACCCCTTGATACGAGCCTACCTAGTTGGGGGACGCCCCACGGACACTGCGCATGATGCTGAACAGACTATTACATTGCCTATGTGCCACTGAGGGCTAGAAAACGAAAAGTGTCACATTGCCAAGGAACCTGAGCCCCAGGACTGTGCATTCTCACCCATTACTAAACTCTTCTGGAGTGAAAACCGTCAACCCTGGAACACTCCCGTGTAACGAAGGCCAATACACTCACCACCCCAGCTTTTCAAACCCTTTCTCACAAGGCTATACAATCAAAGTTCATGATCCTTTTTGCTCTAAGGCAAAGCTTCCTAAACTGTCTTCTGCAGTGCCTCTGCGTGCATTTGCAAGGAGCTGGGTGATCATCTGATGCTGGCTTCATCATGTTTCCAGCAGTTAAATTCCATTAGAAGAAGCTTTCCTCCTGTGACCTTATCATGAGAGCCGTTCCTGTAATTGCCACAGAGATGTTATGGCATCACCAATGGGAAGGGAGCTGGGGTCCATGAAATTGTGAGTGGAGGAAGCATGGACAAGACAAGCTATTAAAATGTAGCCCACAGAAGCCCAGCTCTAGGATGCCGAGGAACTGGTTCTGGAGGCGCTGGCCGACATATGGAACTGGCTGTCTCCCAGTGTTGTCACTGGACTCCCATTATCTTTCCCTTGTACCCAAGTCTGGGGAGGAGGAGGAGGAGGATAGACCTTGTCTGGGTATTTCTTGTAGGATGGGGACTGCCTGATTATGGTCTAAAGAGATTCACACGGGAAGACTACATCAGACAGCACAGGGGCTCTAATCTAGCAGACAAAGGCATAACGAGCAGACAGCTGGAAGTTGAAGTCAGCAAAGTTCAAACTGGAAATAAGATGCACATTTTTAACAGTGAGGGTCATTAACCACTGAAAGCTTCCCAAGATGCATAATGGGTTCTCCCGCACTTCATGTCCTTACACCAAGGCTGCCGTCTTTCTAGAAGACATGCTTCTAGCCCAAGGACAGGCTGTGGTCTTGATGCAGAATCACTGGGTGACGTTCTCTGGCCCATGTTATGCAGGTGGTCAGACTAGATCAAAATGGTCCCTTCTCACCTTAAATATTTCTTGTACTCACCTCATGTGATCATATTTCTTGAAAAGTGCATTGTACTCCACTGCCCTCTGCTGGAGCTCCACATCAATGCTGCTGCCATAGATGGACACAACCTTCTTAATGCGGCTGAGGGGCAAGAAACCAATAATGAAACCACTAAGCACTGAGCAAGGGCAGAGTGTTCCCCAGACATGAGCTCAGAATTCACCAGCAGGTGTCCATGTAACTGGCCTGTAACCCAATAGGGACAGTGTTGTTTCTAATTTACTACCTTGGTAACTATGCAGCCCGTGATTAGGGTCCTACCAAATTCACATCACAGACCATGAAATCTGGTCTCCCCCTGTGAAATTTGGTCTTGTGTGCTTTTACCCATGGGCGGCGGGTATAATAGGCCTGGGGAGGCTCTGGCTCCCCTGGCACTGCTGCAGCTGTTGAACCACCGGGTGCAGGCTTTTGGGAGGAAGTTTTCAATTTATTGTCCCATGCAGGTTCCGGGGCAGCTGAGGAGGTGGTACTTGCTATTCAGCTTCCCGAGTTCATCAGTAATCTCCCTGGAGTCCAGAGAGATTACTGATGAACTAAGGAAGCTGAGTAGCAAGTACTGCCTCCTCAGCTGCCCTGGAACCTGCATGGGGCATATCAAAAGCTTCTTCCGGACCAGAGCTGCTTTTCCCCAGGTGGTTTGGGGTCTGGGGAGGGGAGGGGAGGCATAGCTGCAGATGGCCCGGGACTCCACTGGGGGTGGATGTGGGTGTGTGTGGGTGTGTGCGCGCCAGCCCGGGAATCCTCCAGCCAGGGAGGGCAGGGGGTCTTGGGGCTTCAGATGCCAGGGAGGGGGGCATGTACCGTGGGCGAAAGGGGCAGAGCTGGGGCTAGCCTCCCCGAGGGGGGGTTCCACCCATTGCTCATGCATTTACCTTATACTATACAGATTTCATGGGGGAGACCAGTGTTTCTCACATTGGGGGGCCTGACCCAAAAGGGAGTTGCGGAGGGTCACAAGGTTATTTTAGGGGGTTGCAGTATTGCAACCCTTACTTCTGTGCTGCCTCAAGAGCTGGGTGGCTGGAGAACGCGGCTGTTGGCCAGGTGCCCAGCTCTGAAGGCAGCGCCCCGCCAGCAGCAGTGCAGAAATAAAGGTAGCAATACCATACCATGCCACCCTTTACTTCTGCGCTGCTGCCTTCAGAGCCGGGTGGCTGGAGAGTGACGGCTGCTGACTGAGGGCCCAGCTCTGCAGGGAGCAGCGCAGAAGTAAGGGTGGCAATACCATCCCATGCCATCCTTACTTCTGCGCTGGTGCTGGCGGTGGCCGGCCCGCAGCCGCCGCTCTCCAGCTGCCCAGCTCTGAAGGCAGCGCTGCTGCCAGCAGCAGCACAGAAGTAAGGGTAGCAGTACCACAACCCCCCCTACAATAACCTTGCGACTCCCTCACACCTCCTTTATGGGTCAGGACCCCTACGATTACAACACCGTGACATTTCAGATTTAAATAGCTGAAATCATGAAATTTATGATTTTTAAAATCCTATGGCTGTGAAATTGACCAAAATGGATGTGAATTTGGTAGGGCCCTACCCATGATGCTATGCTGTCTGACACTTTGCTGGAATACTACAGGGCGTATCAGATCCCCAGTACCAGCAGTGTGCCCAACAGTGCTAGACAAGTCACCTGCAAACAACATGGCTGCTCATTCCCTTTGAATTATGGACAGAGGGAATTCAAAAGGGAAACTATATACACCTCTACCCCAATATAACTCTGTCCTCGGGAGCCAAAAAATCTTACCGCGTTATATCGAACTTGCTTTGATCGGCCGGACCGCACAGCCCTGCCCCCCCGGAGCACTGCTTTACCGCGTTATATCCGAATTCGTGTTATATCTGGTCGTGTTATATCGGGGTAGAGATGTACATAAGTGAGGATTCACTTCCGCAACAGAATATTTCCAAGTGAACTCTCACAGTCTCCACACAGAGCACAGACCATAACAAACAGGGAGAGCATGACACATACAAACCCACACAACACTCTTCATACATGTATGTAAGGCACGATCATAGAGTTTAAGCAACAGGAAAACCCTTTATGGTACATGAAGGCAGAAGCTACATCACAGAAACCCTCCCTCTGGCCCCACTGCAGCTTGTGTCCTCCTGTCTGCCACATGCATGTTCTGTTGGCCTTCACCAGCACGCCCCCCCCATGCAGCGTGAGCACCCAAGGTAGACTCACTTGACAGTGCAGGTGAACCTCGTGGAAAGCTTCATGATGGCGGTGAGAGCGTAACCTCGTGTAACGGATGCAGACATGTTTGATATCAGGACACTTTCTAAAATATCGAGTACTTCCTCTTCCGTTACCTGAGCAAAGCAAGTGCAGCAGGGTTAGAAAAGAGATGGGCTCTGCTGCACAACCTCCTGGGCACACTCCCAAACCATTGTTTCCCTCTGCTCCTTCATCACGGAGGAGGATATGGGCTGGCGGGTATATTTATGGGCAGTCCACCCCTTTGTTTGTGTTCATAGTGGGATTTTCCATTTCTGGGACAGGCATGCAGAGCACTGGATTGGCACTGAGAAATTCATTTAAAAATTAAAATCCATACATTTGATATATTTATAAATTGCATTTTCCCCATACACCAAGGAGAAGTCGCATTAGCAGTGTGATGCACAGCCCCTGCATGGCCAGAATTAGCCCCCAAACCCCTCCAACTCAACATCAATGCCAGGAGCTTCCCAGTGTTGACAATACACATGCCCCCAGTGCAGCTCCATCCTACAGCAGGGTGATTCCTCTCCGGCCCAGCAGCATCATGTCCACCAGTGCTAACCCTGGCAAGAGCATCCCCCCACTCCCACATGCCCAGCACCACACTACTCCAACCCCCGCCAGTACACTCAACTGCTCTACTTTCCCCCTTCCCAGAGCTGTACCTGAACTGGCTCCTCCTCTTCACACTGACCAGATATCAAGAGGTCTCCATATTCTCCCATACACCAAGAGGCCACCTGCACTAGGGGCTGCTGTCCGAAGAGAAGGTTAGACATGTCAGGGACAAACAGCTCTCTGCATCACAGACAAAGCCCAGGCTCAGTAGCATCCAATCCTGCCCATTATGAGCAGGCACAGCAGGCCTGGCCAGTGCACCAAGAGGCTTCCTGGGGGATGTTTGGTACGGTCCAAAGGGCAGTACGTATTACCAAGAGAACAGGTATAATTAGGACCACTCCTGTCCTCACTGGCCAGAGGACTGGCCCATAGGGGATTTTCAATGGACATTACCGAGCCTTTAGCTTCCTTTGGAAGCAGTCACTCATGCTGGCTCACTAACAGGAACACCAGGGGTCACTGCAAAACCTGGGCTGGACATCTACCTGGGAGTAGTCACCAAGGATGGCTTTGTAGAGTTTCTGTACAGTATAGGCATGCATCTCCATGCTATTTGTTATCAGCTGGATCAGGTTGGGGACAGCATCATCTCGAACATAACTTCCTGCCTGAAAGAGAAGTCATATTTCCAAGAAACATACAGGAGGCTTCTTTGGTTTCACTGTCACACCCTCTTCCAGCATACTCCATCCACCAGTGAAACTCAAGCCAGCTCAGAGCAGACTCAAAGGGTACTTTAAAGAATTTGCTAGGAGTTAAAAACTGCTTTGCAACATCCCGAAGAGATGCTCTATGGGTGTGTCTGCACTGCACACTCCTTACAGCAGCATGTAGAGTACATACACTGCACGACCCACTGGCATGGGTATAAGCAGCAGTGTAGACGGCAAGGCACTGCTTAGGCAAGTAGAGTAAAGACAAACCAGAAGCTTAGGGTACATACCCTACATGTCTCACTACACCCCCTAGCAGTGCCTCTCCTGCCAACATTGCTAAAAATAGTAACAGTGTCCCACTGCCTCCCCGCTGCTGAAGCGCTTCCCCAGTGCGGGAGCTACAGCAGCCCTTCCCACAGCCTCCCCCGTCAGAGCCTTTCCCCACTGCATCCCCACGCCACAGCATTTCACTGCTGCATGTACCTACACTCCGCAGCGTGGACACAGCCTGCTTTTCACTGCAGTGCATAGTTACGCATACCTCACATGCCTCAGTGAGTGTTCAGGGCAGACATAGCCTATGGCTGATGGTGAACGCACACAGTCAGGTAACAGTAGGAGACAGTTATTATTTAGCTTCTCCCCCCCACCCACCTATACAACAAACTACATCCTGATGATCCAGAAAAATCTACGCTGCAGAGGCCCTCTGATATCTCTGTCAAAATGAAGGCTATCACAGCACAAACTAAAAAGTAATCAAAGTACATGCTTCCCCACAGGAACCAGGAAGAAAATAAGTCATTGCCATCTGCATTACTCAGTAGATGAATGGCTAGGCAGGCACAAGCTAAGGCTGCTGCTTACCAGCAAAAATGTGCCAAATATACCACGGGTTTGTCCTGCCCACATCCTCCTATGTCTACTTCATCCACCTGTTGTGTCTTGGCAAATCCAGACTGAGAGCTCTTTGGAGGTAGTTACTGATTTTCTGTTATGCATCTGCATGGATTAGGACTCCATTTCTCCAGGGAGAAGCAGAGGATGGAATGAGCACAAGCACCAATGCCAAATGTTTATTTTGAATCCATACAAAAAGTTCTCTTTGAGATAGAAATTCTTTCACAGCATCACTCAGCACCAAGGTCTTTGATTCTCTTAGAGCTTACACGGATGTTCCTTTACTTGAGATCCCAGGCCCCTGGCTCTTTTGCCTTTTCCACATTAAGACAGCAGAAAAAGGAACAGATGCCTCCACAAAAGAAGCATCTCTCTGAGCCCTCAGACAGTCTGAAAGGATGATAGCACCACTGGCTTCTCCTCCTTGCATGGACCTCGGCACTCAAGATACAGACATGCAAGGTACCTTGGATTTCAGTTCCAAAGTACAGAGCAGAGAAGGCAGCAGTGTCACATTCTCTGGTGCCAAGAAAGGTTTCAACGAAGACATGCAGAAGTCGGCTCTATTTGTTCTCTTGCTCACAGCTGGAGTTCTGGTCTGATGAAGGACAGGCCAGGGGACTTGCTTGCTTATCTATCTGTACAGACCCTTTGGCTAGGGGCCAGGAACATGGAACAAAGAGCCAGGGAATAACCTCTCCCCACAACGCAGATGAGGCAGCAAACATGTCATTTGACTTTGGCATCTTGGAGGAAGGCGGTATACTGCTTGAATTGCATCTCTTGTCCAGTGGGCCTTGGCATCAAGAAAGCCAAAAAGCTGACCAAGGACAAAACTGTGCAAGAGCACAGAAACAAAGAGAAAATTACATGCAGCCTACTGACACCGACTAAGCTAACCCTTGGCATTAATAGTGAGCAGATCAAAGTTTGGCCAAACAGAAAACTAAGAGCTGCAGGCACAGACTGATGGGCCCCAACACACACAGCTAAAAGAGACCAGAAGGGACTGAGGCCGTTGAGTACATTTGGATGGCAGCTGAGGGGGTGCTTCCCAGCGCGAGTAGACAGATGCACTATCTCTGCTCAAGCTAGTTTGCGCACTACAAACAGTCAGTGTGGACGCTGCAACGTGGGCGGTAGCTTGGGCTAGCCACCCGAGTACAACCCAGAGTCTGTACTTGGGTAACCAGCCCATGTCACCACCTTGCCACCACGTATTGTGCTAGCTATGTGACTGTCTTCCTGGGCTGGGAGGCATGCTACCAGCTGCAGTCCAGACATACCTCAGCAGGCCTAGGTCAGGGCACTGTGTGAGGGAGCTTGTGCAATCCCCATGGCAACTGTTTGCAAGAAGCTCCCCTCTTACTACCAAGCAGTTCTCAATGGAAGTCAGCCTTTGAATGGAAATCGAGTCTCAGTCTCAATAAAGGAAGCTACTCCTTTCCACACGAGGACATTCAGGACAGGAATCAAACTGGAGACCACAGCCCCAGTTTCTCAGGCGCTTTGTGAGAACACTGTTGTCTCAAATGTTAAATTATAGCACCCATTTGTCAGCTTCTCACACAAACTCCTTCATGCTTTCTTCCATGCTGCCCCGTACACATGGCATGTCCTCACTGACCTCATCTGCAAGGCCTTCCTCTAGTCCCACCTCAGCAGTGATTGTTATCAAGTGGTCAGTCAAATGATAATTAGGTCCAAAGGTAGCTGGGTTAGCTGGCCCTTTATGTATAATTAATTACATAAGAATGGCCGGAGTATCCATCTCGAAAAGCTGTATGTATTTGATTGTACCCCTCTCCTCTCACCCTTCATATGTCACTTGGCTTCTTGGGTTATGGTCTCTCCCCTAAAGAGCTTGTATTTCCATATTTTCTTGTACTGCCCGCAGTACAAAGCGGCCCTAACCCTTCCTGAAGCCCCTGGGTGCTACTGCCATTGAAGTAATTAAATATTAGGACATTAGTGGCTCCTTGCACATTCTCTTCTGAAATCTTGAAGAAAACAAAAATCAAAATCCTTTCCAATTCTCATTTCAGGGAACACCCTAACTAATTGTCCCAGGCTGCTTGTCACTAGCTCCTACACACACAGAGTGCTCTGTATTAGCATCCAAAGCCTGCAGTCAACACAACTACAGCGCAGAGTGGCTGATGGTTCTAAACTGATGCAGGACTAGCCACTGCACGAAGTCACAGAAAGCTGTTCATAGGTTCTCAGGATATGCACCACTTACCGTTGTTAGGACTCGCATTATTGTGTCTATGTGCCAGCGTTTGGAAGGGGCATATCTGAGAAGATAATGAAGAAAAAGCCAGAGGAGTGATTAGTTCTGACATTTACCACCAGTAGAAAATTGGGCAGGATTATGAAAGCTTCCTCTCCCCTCACCTCCTGATCCATCACTCACCAGGAGGCCATCTCACATTTGCTGGGAAATAGTATATGGATTCAGTTTTTCAATATGTGAGCATTAAATGACTAGCTTTACTGAGGAGTAAAGTGATACTCTGCAGTACAGGACAGTAGAGCTGGTCTTCCAATTATAAAGTCACAGTAGTAATGAGATCATCTTGTTTCACAATTTAATGGAAGAGAGACTGAACACGTCATCCATTCCACATAGCAGAAGGAGTCAGCACTCTGGATTTGTTTAACAATGTAATCAGTAATTAAGTGCCTACAAACAGTACCTCCCATAAAGCTATAAGCATTGGACCATGCCATTTCTCAAGGTATAACAACAGACCACACCAGGGCCAATTTGCAGAAGGGAGGGGAAGAAATGACCAACACAGTCCCCCAGCCTCATTGGTTCTGGCATGGCGGGGGGAGATACACAAATGCCCAGCCACACAGTTCCCAGGACCAGCAGGGGATTAATGTGAACTTTAATTGAGTCCTTACTTCTCTGCTGCAAGAAATATTCCAGAGGCACAATCTGCCTTGAACTCTGGCTCACAGGAATCCAGGAAATACAGAAGTTCCTTCATCATTCCACGGATGTTGTTCCCATTAACTAATGCAAAGCTCAGCTCCATTGCACGCCTGGAACAAGAGAGAGAGAGCTAATAAGCTATCACCATCAAATGACAAATACAGGCACAGGTTTCCTACCTGCCCAAATCCCTCCATTTCCTGCATTCTCATCTTTCAGTAAGGAAAGCAGCAGCAATCTTGATTAATGCTACTTTCCCATTCACCAGCAGATATTAAGCAGCCGAGAACAAAAACCAACTGAAAAGAGGGGAAAAGGGAAGTTCTCCAGCATTTTTATGGAAGCTTCTAACTATCCTAAAGAACAGAACACCTTTCAGCAGCAAGTGTCCATCTGAGAATTTCTGAACCTCCAGCTATTGGTCACTACCTTGCAGAATTAGTCTGACATAATAGTGAAAACAACCCCAAGTTGCAAGAGGCTACAATTGTATAAATGAAGGCCAGAAGGACACGATGATCATTAGTCTGACTGCCCACGTAGCACAGGACAGAAAACCTCACTTCATCAAATCCAAAGGGTCTGGCTGAGCCAGAAATCCAATCTGAAAGACTTCAAGGGATGGAGAATCCACCACATTCGCAGTAAGTTGTTTCACTAGTTAATCACTCTCACTGTTAAAAATGGGTGCCTTATTTCTAGTCTGAATTTGTTTAGCTTCAGTTTCGAACCACTGGGTCTCATTCTGTCTTTGTCTGCTAGATTAGGGAGCCCTCTACTATCACAAATCTCTTTCCCGTGTAAGTACTTGTACACAGTGATCAAGTCACCTCTTACCCTTCTCTTGCATACACTAAATAGATGGAACTCCTTTAGTCTCACTATAAAACAGATTTTCTAGACCACAAATCATTTGTGTAGTTCTTCTCTGAACGCCTTCCAGTTACTCAACAACCTTTTTGAACTGTGGACACCAGAACTGGACACGATTTTCCAGTTATGGTTTCATGAATGTTTTACACAGAGGTTAACACACCTTCTATTCAGTGTTCCTCTGTTTACAGGCCACAGCACTGCACTGAGAGCTCACATTCAGCTGGTTTCCATAATGACCCTTAAGTAATTTCCAGAGTCACTGCTTTCCAGGATACAGTCCCCCATACTGGAAGTGTGACCTAAACTCTTGGTTCCCAGATGTATTACCTTGTATTTGGCTGTATCAAAACGCACATTGTTCACTTGAGCCCAGCTCATTTTTTCCAAGCAATACATATTATACTATACGATATAACTGAGCTATCATTTACCATTCCACTAGTCGGTCATCTGCAATCCATCAGCAATGATTTTATTTTCTCTTTCAGATCATTAATAGAGATACTGAATATCACGAGGCCATAGACAGACTTCTTGAAGAGGAAACAGCATCACTTACAGTTATCTCTGAGATCACTGAGCCAGTTTTAAAATCCATTTAATATGTGCAACAATCACGTTGTTTCGTGCTCGTTTTTTAAAATCAGAATGTTGTGCAGGACTAAGTTACATGTCATCCTGAAGTCTACCTGTGTGATGCCAACAGTCACCTCTCTGCCAATCAAATCTGTATTCGCAAAAGATATTAAGTTTGTTTGTTGAGACCTATTTTCAGTAAAATCATATTGAATTATGTTGCCATCCTTTAGTTCTTCACCGATTATGCTCAATATCACCATTTTCTTGATTTTGTCTGGGACCAATGCGCAGGTAACCAGCCTGTTGTTACCGAAGTCACCCGCTGACCCTTTTTAAGTATTGGTACATTAACTTTTTTCCAATTACTTGGGATTTCCCCAGAAGTCCAAGATTTGTTAAATATCAATATCAATGGATCAGAGGGCTCCCCATCCAACTCTTGATACTCTTGAATGCAAGTTATCTGGTCCTGAAGATTTGAAACGGTTTAGCTTTAGCAGCTACCATTTAATATCTCCCTAGTTACTGTCAAAATATAAAGTATTTCTTTAACACTGTAAACTCTGACTATGTGATCTAGCTTCTTCCCTATATAAAAAAAAAAAATACACACTTTTGCCTTTTCTACATCATTAACAATTTCACCATCCCTGACTAATAATGGACCTATACTATTGCTAGATTGCTTTTTTTCCTGATCTATTTTAAAATTTCTTTTTTATTGCCCTTAACCCTACTAGGCCATCGGGCGTTTCATGTTTAAATTTTAATCTTGTGTCATGCTGAAGCTTATCAATATAGCAGCAAGACAGGAAGTGCTTTGGTGCTTCCCAACCCCATACATCAGAGCACTGAGCACAGGACACAGCTGCAGTTTCTTTGACCATATTCAGAGATTTATTTCCTTTATGGATCTCCCAAGCACTTGAGCTTATGTAGTGGGCCGATGACAAGCTGAAAGCAAGGGCCAAGCGCACTTTTACCTGCACTAAACTGACATACACTACAATATAGCTAAAGGAGACAAGGATGGGCCTCAATAGAGAGCCAATACCAAATGCACAAAAAAGCTATCATCCCCCTTGGCTTCCCCACAAATCTGCTTTTAGTGCTCCCAGGGTTTCTGTCACCAAGTCAGCTGATTGCCAGAATGACAGATGTGCGTTGTCAGCAGCTTGAGTGTCAGCATTGTGACAGGGCACTCTGCCGATGGATCACTCTAAGGCTTCATCCTCCAACTGCACAGACCAGAGTAGAAGCTTCTACAGGGCTCTAGCATACCACTGATTTCCGACCATGCTCCAGAGCATGACACTGTGACCTCCCACACACCAGATCCATCTCTAGCCTCTCCTGTAGGCCCTGGCTCTCTGCAATGGAACGATGTTGATGTGCTGAATCCTTGTACAGTCATACCTCAGAATGGGGCTCGGCTGTAAGATTAGCTTGTGCAACACCCATTACAAGACCGATTACGTTAGAATTTAACAGAAGGGCAGATCCAATCTGCAGAATAGCAACATTCAGAACAATTGAGCTAATGACAGGAGTGAGGACAGAAATAAAAGGTCCAGAGAGATTATGAAACCAGATGAAAACTGATTATTTGTCAAAGTTGAATCTATTACACAGATTTTCAATAGGGAGAGAAACTTGACAAGCCGTGATGTCGAAGGAGAACCATGGATTGCAGGGACAACAAAACAGATATGTTTGCAATGTGATATGATAGCAATGAGGGCAATACAATTTTGGGCTGCACATGCAGAGGTGTCATATCCCTGAGCAAGGGTATAATGGCCCCTCTCTCTTCGGCTTTGGTGCAAGGACACATGGAATATCGCACTGAGTTCTGAACACCACATTACAGGAACAATATTGACAAACAGGAGCGAGTTTAGATAAGAGTAATATGTGATCAAAGGGTTGGAAGGCCTAACTTAGGAGAATTGAAAAAGCTAAATATGCAACGCTTGGCAAAGTGAGGATAGGGTGTGGGGGGAGAGACAGAACCACAACAACAGCCCACAAGTATTGCACAGGTGCAAGATGAAAAATCAAGGTGTTTAGTGTGGCAGAAAGGAGGTAGCTAAGCGGTAACAGGATGAAACTGAGGGTGAATGTCAAGAGAAAAATCCCTGGGAGTGAGATGTGCTAGACTATGGAACAATCTCCCAAGGGACAAAGCGGAAGCCCTACCCGTCTGAACATTTAAACTCAAACTGAACACCAGAAAACGTACATCAGGAAACAATCCTGCATTTGTGACAAATCTACCAGAGCTAACTCCATGTCCCCTAGGTTTCTATATAACTCCTATTACCGTGATAGCGGAGTACTGCACAAACAGTACACCTCTGCCTGATCCTCCAGGCAGTGAAGAACCACTCTGGGCCTGTAGGACTTTCACTGATTACTTTACAAGCATAAATCTGGGGGAGGGAGTTTACTAAAAGGTGAGTTTTACAACTTGCTCTGAACTCATTCAGGCTTGGGCTTGTTCTGAGCTCTTCTAGCAAGGAGTTCCATGGCCCTACGTAAGATCAGCTTCCCTGATAAGTTGGCTGCCTGTCACCATCCCTGTTCTCTCTGAAGCAGGGGGCAGACTGGACAGTAATAAGAGTCTCCCTTGTGGGACTGCTGCACTGGGCAGTTAACGTGCATCTCTCTCTCCCCACCCCACAGGCTCACAGTCCTGACGTAACAAGTCAAACAGACAGCTCTCTGTAGCTCAATTACCGTTTAATGGAGACATCCAGATCTTTTAGGCAGTCCACAATGGTGCTTCTGTGCCGCTGTACTGCATTGTGGTCTGTCTGCACAGTCTTCAACAAAGATGTCAAAGCTACATATCTGGGATAGAGAGGACAAAGGAAGAACACCACATTCGTGCCAGCCATTCTGTTTCATTGCAAAATAAAGGGGTTTAGTCTTCCTCTGTACTGGGACAGGATTTTCCCAGTGCTACTGGGAGCAAAGGAAAATCTGCCAGATTGCTCTCTGACCCAACTAGAGGGGAGTTTCCAACCAGAGGATGTAGATGTACCATAAGAGATACTTCTGCTGTGACAAAGGGAAAGCGCAGCTTAACTGGCCGCTGGAAAAAGCCATAGTCTGAGCTACTCCAGGAACCTGTGTCTGGTCTATCACTGGGCTGCAGTCGCTTGCTGTAGGCTTGCTGGCTAGTGAGGAAAGGCCATGATACGCCCAGGGAAAGAAGTATGGCAAGGAGAAAGAAAAGTAGTCACCAAGGGAATTTAGCCATCCCCATCCCCCGCCCCCACCACCTTTCCCAACACTTTGCCTTGGGAGCTGCTTCTGCAGACTCTTAACACAGCAGTGCCCATGTTTGACACACTTCAGGTAACTTACCTAATGTTTTTGTCGTTATTTAACAAGAAACGGCCTAGGATGTTAATGGCTAACACCTGCAGAAAAAAGAAAGAGTTAGGGAAGGTTAGCGATCACAGCAAGCTGCTGCTCCTCCTCACCGCTGCTTCATGAGCCCACGTGGTCCTTCAGCAACCGTGCATGCAAAGTGCTATGGCTAATGACAGGGGCAGAAACAGCAAGAACTCCAGACACTGATTAACCAGAGAAAGAGGCAGGAGTCATGCACATGGTGGCTCTGGGAGAAGGCTGCACACCAGGTCAAAGAGGAATCTCACTGCACAACATACAGCAAGTCGTACAAGGGCACCAAGTCTTGGTACAGCTGTGCATGCTTCAACTGTGGAATAAACTCGCTAACCACTATCTACAGCTCCCCTCAGACATTCCAAGTTATGTTTCCACCTCCTTGGCCACTGGATACAAATTACAAGAGGAATCCATTATCACCCTCCTGGAGCTCAGGAAGAGAGAGACACTGTCTCAACACACTATGGTTCCTGGCACAGCTCTCATCCCTTCCCTCATCGTGCTACAAGCAGTTAACTTCCAGACATTGCTACTGGTACCACATCTGGCACAGGATCTCACTGATGTAACGTTGTCCTGAGCCCAAGATCTGAGATTCTCTGGAATCCCAGACATCTACCACCAGCACCATAGTCACTCTTAGAGATTTACGTTGGACATTAGGAAAAACTTCCTGTCAGGGTAGCTAAGCACAGGAACAAGTTATCTACGGAGGTTGTGGAATATCCACCACTGGGGGTTTTTTAGACAAACATTTGTCAGGAATGGTCTAGAACAGTGGTTCTTAACCTTTACTGCAGCCTGCACCCCCTTTGGTTCTCAAAAATATGTTCTTGCACCCCTTATCAAAAATCGTTGAAGTAGGTCAGTTCTTTAAACCTAGATATATCATAACTATAGAATGAAAGAGAGAGAATTATATATTTATTTTAATTCGCAGTTAAAATTTAACACTGTAATCATTAAAAAACGTATAATGTTAATACATAGGTTTGATGAAACAAAGTAGTTGTACTTACCTGCCTGTGCTTAATTTGTGTTTTCGATGATTTATCTTCTAAAAAAAAATCTGGCATGTCTCGCACCCCAGGGGTACGTGCACCCCAGGTTAAGAACACTGGTCTAGATGATACTTAGTCCTGCCTCAGTGCAGGGGACTGGACCACACGACCCATCGAAGTCCCTGCCAGCCCTACGTTTCTATGATTCAACCAATTCCAGTGACACTTTGGAGCCCTAAGTACTAGACCTCGCTAACTGACGAACTCAGTCTGGGGCCCATTGTTTGACTAAAATCAAGTGTAACGGTTTAGCTTCATACGTCCACTAGGAAAACTAGTACCTGCCCTAGCCCCAACAGGTGAGCTCCATTTAATCAGTCATTTCATTTCTAACTTCTATGATTCTATCGGTTTAGTGAAAAGAACCATGGTAAAGGCAACGTACTCGCAGTCCACTCTCAGACTTGATGTCCATAATAGTCAATACAGTTTCATAGAGGATGGCGTTACCCACGTTTTTACTTGTTTCTGTATTAGTGGCAACCTGGAAAAAAAAACAAAGTAAAGTAACTTTGCCCGTGCTTTGCCAGCATCTGCAGCACCCTACCCAGGCCACCTCTCATTTCTGTATCAGAACAAGGCACCGTCCACCCACTTGCCCAGATTGTTAGCATCTGCCAGAGTAAATCATTGCCCTCAGAAGCACATACTTGTGGTGCAATGAGTTGATGCTCACTCTGTGGTACACAGGGATGTAACTAGAAGTAACAAGATGAAATTAAGAGGAGCAATTTAGGCTGAATATCAACCTAACCTGGCAGGCCTCACCTGCGCAAGTATGTCATTCATTGCTTCACTTGAGTCATCATCATTTCGCCCCAGAATTCTTAGTAACCGCAGGATTCGCACCTGAAAAGACAAAAGGCAGCAAATTAAATCACATCTGGCATAAAGCAACTTTATGCAGTAGCCTCCGGTTAACTCATGGAAGAGTGCAGGAGAGACAGATCAGATGCTGATAAATATGGCAAATTAAATCACAAGGCCCTCTGCTTAGAGCAGAGATGAGGATTTGAACTCTTCTCCCTCAATGAGGTCTTTCCCAGGAAGCAAGGATTTATACTAGGTTTAGGTCTCCATCCTCTAGCCAGAAGCACTCCCACTACAACCAAACAACTGATATGGATTGAATATGGATAACTATAAGCTTACTCCTCCTCCCATGAATTCGCACAATAGGTGAGGGAGTCAGAAACCAAATCCCAAACACCGCACTGGAGACAGAGCTACCCGAGAGTTTTATTATCAATCCTTACCTGCAGGAAGGGGTCACTGATCCCAGACACGTCATGCTCTGGTGAATATCCAGACATGATAAGGTTCTTTAGAATACGAACTAACTGGGGTACAAGCTGTGAAGAAGAAAGATCCATCAGAAAGTATACTCATAACACTTGTCTTCCACACTTTTGATGTAGGGATCCAAGAATGAATCCTGAAGATCAGTGTACACATCCTTCCACACAGAACATCTCTGATTGCGCAGGCTGGGTTATCTGAACATATTGACACTGACATCTGGCCAGGACCTGAACACCATACTACAGAGCTACTCAGAGAGCTAAGCCCACTGGCCCAGAGGCATATAAAAAACAGAAGTGCTTCACATGTGAGGTTCATAGACAATGCCATGGAGAGTTCCCCTGCCATCAGCTGCTGAAAATAAGAAGAGGTGCTGGTCTTTCACAGGGTACTGTCCTTAGATCTTGCATTGGGGCTCTTTCACACCAGCTTCTGGCTGACTTAATCTAAGTTCCTTAGGGCCAGGACCAGCTTTTTGTTACATGTATGGAGTGCCTGGCACAGTGGAATCCCTGATGGGGGTCTTTAGGCGTTCCCACAAGAGAAACAGATGTCATTATGGAGGTCTTAAGTTTGTCACTCTCCCCCAGCTACACCTCTACCCCGATATAACGCAACCCGATATAACACGAATTCTGATATAAACACGGTAAAGCAGCGCTTGGGGTGGGGGTGGGGGGGCTGCGCACTCCAGTGGATCAAAGCAAGTTCGATATAACGCAGTTTCACCTATAACGCGGTAAGATTTTTTGGCTCCCAAGGACAGTGTTATATCGAGGTAGAGGTGTAGCTGCAGGAAGGCGCTCTGTCTCTTCTCTTCTCCCCCCCGAAGACCCTCCAGGGTAGCAAAGGTGGAGAATTTCCACCACTCTACCTCCCACCCAGCCTCCAATAGTTGGGTAGTACCCCCAGTGAAGAGCTTCCCCAGGGCCTACCCACCTTCTCCTGCTCACAGCTTCCCCACACACCAGCAGCAACTTTTCAAAATGAGAGCTTAGGTTCTGCAGAAGTTGATGGCATTGATTCCTAGGGTCATCTTCTCACCTTTCAGGAAAAGTGGCTCTTTCAGGGACTGCATGGGACTGTTTTTAGGAGACAAGTCATCTGCATGAGACAGTTTGCCTCAGTATACTCTAGCTCTTGGACTGGTAGTCATGGGTGTCTCACTACTCCATCCATCAATTTCAGGAAAAACTTCTTAACTGTAAGAACAGTAGGACAATGGAACAGAGTGCCCTGAGAAGTTGTGGAAGCTCCTTTACTGGAGGCTTTCAAAAAGAAGCTGGATAGCCACGTGTCTTGGATGGCTTAGACTAGGGGTGCCCAAACTACGGCCCACCAGAGCATTTCATAAGGCCCAGAGCCTGCTTCAACACAATATAGTAACGGCTGATTCATTAGCGTTTTGTTGTCATGTTTACATCATTTTATATTACACAAGTGCGTAAACAGACAATACTGTACATAAAAACCACCTATCTAAATACATACAAAACAAGCTGAACTTAAAATATAAATTAATAAAGGGGACTCTAAATCTTATTAAAATATGGAGACTCAGTTCGGCCCACAAAAGGTTGTGCTTAGGTTTGAGGCCCCCCTGTGTAATAAGGTTGGCACTACTGGTTTAGATACATCAAATCCTGTATCTTGGCAGGGGGTTAGATTAGATGACCCTTGAGGTCCCTTCTAACCCTGTTCTGTAGCAGCACATACATTCCATGGGTGTACTCAGATTGAGATCACCAGCAACAGATAACACCCACCATAGTTCTCAGGTCAGGACTACTATGGACAGGTTGTGATGGGCCTCACAATAGTTGGAGTGATGAAATGGAAAACTATCACCACCACAATCCACCAAAACACTCTTGCTCACACACTAAAGACAGGCTGGGATAGCCATGGGGTGGGATCACATTTCCAGAGGGCAGGATACTGCACATCTCTCCAAGTTTCATTCTCTACAAAACACGTTCTCATTTAAAGAAAAGTCTTGACCCGCTTGCCAGAACATGACATAATGCTTGTTAAAGCTGGTAGATCTCCAGGTAAATTAACTAAAGCGGTGAAGAAGTAATCTCTCTCTCTCTCATTCCACTCATCTTTCCATCTCAGAGCTGACATTAAGTAAAATAACCTAAGAAATAGGCAGTCAAATAGAGTCCAAAAATGTGTTGGAGCTGGCTGTCCTGCTGAGACAGACTGAAGGCCAATTAAAGAGCAATGGGTGATTTGCAGGTGGGATGGCACTAGACCTGACTGGGCAGATTTCCATACCATATTAGAACTGCATTATTTTTCCTTTCACCTACGCCTCTATATATGCAGAATGAATACACTTCACCCCCATGTCCTCCAGCAGAACCTTCCCCGAAAGCCACCTCTGTCTTCCCCACAGGATTGTGCTGCAGCCACTCAGGTAGCTATTATTCCCCTTAGAGATCTGCCAGAGGCTAGCCATGGCAGAGTTTAGAGTGCCTGACAGAAGCTCAATCAGCAGCATTCTGCTGCAAATTTGAGATGGCTCTGCAAGAAGGAAACATCTCTCTCCTTGTAGTTTCTTGACTCTCCCTTCCTCCACCCTGGAGCATTTCGGCAATCGGACTTGTATATCACTGGAGGAGGTTGCTTCCCTTCAGATCTCAGAGGAGAGCAGGAGGACACTCCCCATACCCCCGGAATACAAAGTGCAGCTGACTGGGTGGTCTGCATAAACATTCTTGGAACCCTGCTTTGCATTTTCTTTGTTTTCTCACATACAACGCAAGGTACCAAAACTGATGACAGGACAAACATAGGCAAAGGCTACAGCCATAAAGATCAGTTGATGCCTACCCCACTCTGCTGATCCTTGACAGTCAGATACTTTCAGAAAATATGTGCAATGGATCTGTGCTGAACAGTCCAGTGCTGCCTACTGAGCCCATGTGGTATGTGGTGGTCCATGCTCCACTGCATGTATCTGATTCCCAAGGCTGCTATAACCACTCCAGTGATGGAGTTCTTATCCCACTCCCCCTTATATACAGGAGAACATCTGAATTACCCAGGGCTGTCCCACTTTGCCAGTGTGAAGCAAAATACATCTTGTGGTAAGGAGAATACATCAAGGCTCCAGGGCAATCAGACTTTTTAAAAGAGGAACACAGGAAACTGCCTAAATTCCTCAAACAAGGAAGGGAGGGATCAAGATAGGTTCACAGTTTGGGAGAGGCCACAACTGAGATCCAGGGCTGCCATGGATATGGGAACTTAATGACAAGACAAAAACTGGACAACAATGAGCTTGTTAGACAAGTATAGCATAGCTAGCACATGGCATTAATCACAACTGCAGTGTTAGTGCACAGTGCCTCCATGTGGTGACTGGACACACAGAAGCCTCTACAGATCCAATGAAAGCATGCACCATCTAGAAGAGTTAACTCTTACCTTTTCATTCTAACATACAGCAGGAGTCCAAACAGACAAAAGGGATAAAACAGACGAAGCAGGCATTAGGAACAGATCAGTGTCATACTATTCACAGCATAAAACACCACAAGAAAGATGGCTAGAAGAAAGCGCCACCAAAAAGAAGCCCTAGTGCACAAAGTCGTTGGACTCAACTCCTCATCGCTTCCCCCAGGACTCAGCCACCTCCTAAGTAGTGACAGTGATGGGCAATGGCTCAGGATGACACTACTGCCCCCATAACATTAACCCCAGCTCTAGCACACATAAAATGCACCAGCAAAGGGGGTGCCTGTCTGAGGTCCCTGCGAGCAAACCTAGGACTTGCAGGAAGAGTATGTTGAGAGCTGTGCACACAGGCAGAAGACTCCTCTCAGGATTTTTCAGTGGAGCAACTGGCCAGTTGCTTTCTTCTGGCTCATTTGGTTCCCAATTCCCCCTTTGCCCAAAGGAATCTGAACTGTACACCAAGAACGCCTTCCAAATCATTCTGGAAGGAAATCTTTATAATTTGGCAGTTGTTAAGTTCTGAAAGCAGCAGATACAGCAAGAGCGATTACAGCAGGCAGTGACAAGAGGCATGGGCTAGGACAGTGTGCTAGAAGACAAGAACACTGCTGACTCTGAAACTCCTACCCGCCCTGGGAAAAATGCCCCTTATTACACGCTGTGTGCAATGTGGACAGGTTAGCTATACTTAGGCTGAAGCATTAGGTTTTTAACCAGTAAATGTTGGTAAACGTCTATTTCATCATACACATACACAAACCAATGAAAAAATATTTCCATCAATGATAACCGAAATTTACAGGCAAAGTAAGAAAAATGCTGCTTGAGAACTAATGAGAGTTTGATTTAAGAGTATTTACTTTGTATATTTTGACACATAAGAACGGCCATACTGGGTCAGACTAATGGTCCAGCTAGCCCAGTGTCCTGTCTGCCGACAGTGGCCAATGCCAGGTGCCCCAGAGGGAATGAACAGAACAGGACAGTTTACTGAGTGATGCATCCCCTAATGTCCGCTCCCAACTTCTGGCAATCAGAGGCCAGGGACACCCAGAGCATGAGGTCGCATCACTGGCCATCTTGGCTAATATCCATTGATGGACCTATCCTCCAGGAACTTATCTAATTCTTTTTTAAACCCAGTTATACTTTTGGCCTTCACAACATACCCTGGCCACAAGTTCCACAGGTTGACTGTGCGTTGGGTGAAAAAGTACTTCCTTATGTTAGTTTTAAACCTGCTGCCTAATTAATTGGTTCTTGTGTTATGTGAAGGAGTAAATAACACTTCCTTATTCACTTTCTCTACACCAGTCATGATTTTATAGACCTCTGTCATATGCCCCCTTAGTCGTCTCTTTTCCAAGCTGAAAATTCCCAGTCTTATTAATCTTCTCTCATATGGAAGCTGTTCCATACCCCTAATCATTTTTGTTGCTCTTCTCTGCACGTTTTCTGATTCTAATATATCTTTTTGGAGATGGGACAAACAGAACTGAATTCAACGTGTGGGCATACCATGGATTTATATAGTGACATTATGATATTTTCTGTCTTATTATTTATCTCTTTGCTAGTGGTTCCTAACAGACTGTTACTGTTTCTGACTGCCGGTGCACATGCAGCAGCTGTCTTCAAAGAACTATCCACAATGACTTTAAAGATCTCTTTCTTGAGTGGTAACAGCTAATTTAGATCCCATCATCCTGTATATATAGTTGGGATTATGTTTTCCAGTGTGCATTACCTTGTATGTATCAACATTGAATTTCATCTGCCATTTTGTTGCCCAGTCACCCAGTTTTGTGAGATCCCTTTGTAACTCTTTGCAGTCTGCTTTGGACTTAACTATGTGATGTTGACAATTTGTATTTTAATGAGTATAAAGTTTTAACCTTTTGAACATTAGTTTCTACTATCATTAAATAATTGTCTATTCTCCCTACTGTCTGACACCCTCCCCACAATTTTGCACAACTATGAACATTTGATAAAAGTAGATAAAATGCTTAAAATAAACATTGATATTATAGATCAAAATAATGAAAAATAAAAATTGAATTCTGCCAAGCCTAGCTGTACTATGAAAACCTCAATTCTGCCTTTTCCTGAGTGGAATGTATAAACGGTAAGGTTAACAGTGTAAGCTTGTGATTTTAGTTCCCCATCTTAGATAAAAAAGAAAAAGGAGATTAAACTTTATCCCACTTCAGATGTCACTGATGCAATCAGCTACATGAGGAATAATGCATTTACGGGACTTTCATCACAGGAGTTGCTGCAACTTTAACTCTGGGACAAGTTTCACAGACTTCATGCACATAAGTGATTTGTCAGTATCTTATAATTTACCCCCTCCCATGCTCACAAGGAGACTCAAAGACAAACCCCATGGAAAACTTCTAATTTAATTATTTGATTATATTGTGTGACACTGTTTTTGAAGCTGAAAGCCTGCATTATCATCATGTGCCTCATTTAAAATTAGCTGCACAGATTTCGCTCTAACTTGTGGACACATCCTGTTGGCTAAGACCAAGGATGGAAGTGTCAGCCTAGAAGAGGCATGTAAACATTAGCTATCGGCGATACTAATGCACAGTTTGTACTTACCTTTCTGAAGTGTGATAACATGTCTGGGCTTCTCTCACACATCTCTGTGAGGAGGACAACTGATGTGTGAAGAACACCTACAAGGCCAGAAACAAGTCTAGTTATTTAGTTTTCACTTATAAAGGCTCTAGGCACCTGACAAAAAAAATTTAAAATGAAAGCCATGAAGGAAAAATAGCAGCAGCAATCCCACAAAACATCTCCCACCTGAAACACACACCCCCCCGGAAATGCCTCCAACAAGAACATAAAAATGGCTATAGTGGCTGAGACCAATGGTCCATCTAGCCAGTATCCAGCTTTCCAACTGGCCAATGCAAGATGATTGAGAGGAAGGGAACAGAACAAGGTGATTTTGAGTGACCCATTGCCTGTAGTCCAGTCCCAGCTTCTAGAAGTTGGAGGTTTAGGCACACTTTGTGTCCCTGATCATCTTGGCTAATAGCCATCGATTGAACTATCCACCAGGAACTTATCTAATTGTTTTTTTGAACTCAGTTATACTTCTGACCTCCACAACATCCCCTGGCAACAAGTTCCACAGGTTGATAGTGTGTTGTGTGAAGAAGTGCTTCCTTACGTCTGTTTTAAACCTACTGCCTATTAATTTCATTGGGTGAACCCTCCCCCCGGTTCCTGTGTCATTGGAAGGGGTAAGCAACACCTCCCTCTTCTTTCTCTGTACCATTCATGATTTTACAGACCTCTATTACATCCCTCCTCAGTTGTCAGGGGGAGGGATAGCTCAGTGGTTTGAGCATTGGCCTGCTAAACCCAGGGTTGGGAGTTCAATCCTTGAGGGGGCCACTTAGGGATCTGGGGCAAAATCAGTACTTGGTCCTGCTAGTGAAGGCAGGGGGCTGGACTCGATGACCTTTCAAGGTCCCTTCCAGTTCTAGGAGATGGGATATCTCCATTAATTTATTTTATTTTATTTGTCTCTTTTCCAAGCTGAAAAATCCCACTCTTTTTAATCTTTCCTCATATGGAAGCTGTTCAATACTCCTAATTATTTTCATTGCCCTTCTCTGCACCTTTTCCAACACTAATATATCTTTTTTGAGGTGAGGTTACCAGAACTGCACACAGAATTTAAGGTGTGGGTGTACCATGAATTCATATAGCAGGATCATGGTATTTCCTGTTTTATTATTCATCCCTTCCCTAATGGTTCATAACATTTTGTTAGCCTTTTTGACAGGCACTGCACATTGAGCAGATGTTTTCAGAGAACTATCTGCAATGTCTTCAAGATCTCTTTCTTGAGTGGTAACAGCTAATTTAGACCCCATCATTTTGTATGTATAGTTGGGATTATTTTTTCCAATGTGCATTACTTTGCATTTATCAACACTGAATTACATCTGCCATTCTGTCACCCGGTTTAGTGAGATCCCTTTGTAAGTCCAAAGCTGACTGCAAGGAGTTAGCTATCTTGAGTAATTTTGCCACCTCACTGTTCACCCCTTTTTCCAGATCATTTCTGAATATGCTGACTAACAGGTCCCAGTACAGATCCTTAGGGGACCCTGCTATTTTCCTCTCTCCATTGTAAAGACTAACCATTTACTCCTACCCTTTGGTTCCTATCTTTTAGTCAGTTACTGATCCATGAGAGGATCTTCCCTCTTATCCCATGACTGCTTAGTTTGCTTAAGAGCCTTTATTGAGGGACCTTACCAAAGGCTTTCTGAAAGTCGAGGTACACTATATCCACTGGATTATCCTTGTCCACACGTTTGTTTATACCTTTAAATTCTAATAGATTGGTGAGGCATGATTTCTCTTTACAAAAGCCGTGGTGACTCTTCCCCAACATATCACGTTCATCTATGTGTCTGATAATTCTGTTCTTTACTATAGTTTCAACCAATTTTCCTGGCATTGAAGTCAGGTTTACTAGCCTGTAATTGCCAGGATCGCCTCTGGAGCCTTTTTTAAAAATAGGCATTAATTAGATACCAGCCAGTCATCTGCCACAGAGGCTGATTTAGGTGATAAATTACAAAGAGGCACTGCATTTGCAGCATGCCCTGAAGAGCACTCGATTGTTATGTACTGTGTGTATTAGAGTAGCAGCAATACAGGCCATGAGAAAGAGAGAGAGACACCCTGCCAAAAAAAGGCTTAGGACTTATCTACACTTTGAGCACTACAGTGGCACAGCTGCAGCTGAGCCATTGTAGCACTTCAGCGTAGACACTACCTACAGGTGGTTCTGGCCCTGCGTTTGGGAACTGGGGGTTCTGGATTATGGCCAGAAGGTGGGCATGGCTGTTTTGGGTCCCAGCAAGTGGGGTTCATGGGTCTTTATGGAGAATGCCTGCCAGCAGCTCTATGTCTCATGCACTAAAGAGGCTCCAACTTACATGCCTCTGAATAGAGTCAGTTTCACACAGGGAGGCAGGTTCCAAGCCATTCAGGGCTTTATAGGTCAAAACCAACAAGCAATCGGTGCAAAGAACTGGAGTTGTGTGCTTGCAGTAGATTGCTCCTCTCTATTAAGTGGGCTAAGAAAATCATTAGATGTCTGGAGAAACTGAAAAGACAGATAGTTTATGTAGGAGACAAACAAGGGGGGCAGGATTGAGGGATCCAAAATTAACAAATGGGTACAGAAGCTCATTCGGGTGCTCCTATTCACCCTTTTATAATACAAGAACAAGGCGATATTCAACAAAACTGAAACAGAAATTTAAAACTGAGGACAGAAGAGAATGCTCCATCAACCTGAGGGACTCACTACCACCAGATATCACTGAAGCCAAAAACTTACTAAGATTCAAAAAAGGATTAGATGTTTATACAGCTAAAATCACTCTCAGTTACATTAGTTAAAATGAGATTACATTAAAGATATAAACCTTAATGGCTCTATGACATAAGGCAAGCACTAATGACTTAGGTTAAGAAAAAGCTTTCCCTAATTCCCACTTAGATTTCTTGCCCCTAGCATCTGGTAGGCGACTGGCTGGGAAAGGATAGTTCGTTAGATGTACCATTAGAGTAATCCAGCATGGCAATTCTTATGTTAATAAATGACATTGTTTATTATTTTGCACTAGTATGAGCTTCTAAGTGGATTTAAGGGGCACCTCCTGATCAGGCGCAGATGAGACGCACCATCCTGGTCACTTTTGCTATTTGATCATCTAAACGCAAGCTGAGCATCTAACAAGACCCTCAAAGTGACAAGCTGTGGGCACACACTAAAAAAGCAGATGATATTTTTGCTCTATTCTCCAGTTGCTTCCTCCAACCTACCATCAACATTTGACTTATCTAGACTGACCTTCAATCATTTACATTGAATCAACAGTTGTACAAATATTTTCTTCTTTCATCCACGACCCAGTCTGACCAGCTACTGAAATGCTCCACTGCAAGAGCCTATACTCATTCCTTTTCCTTTTAGTTAAAAAAGGGCATGGCCTAGATTGTAGGCCCAACCCAGATCAACATTTCACCAGCCGTCAACTTGCAGTCAAAGTAACTCTTAGCAGCCCCGTGGGGAGATGCTCAAACAAGTTGCTTTTTGTTTTTAATTACCAGCTGCCTACAATTACAACCCCATAAGCAGTCCCACAATTCCAGAGAAGAGGGAGGAGATCTGATGGGCAGGCAGAAACATCTGGAGGAGATGGCAGACTTGGTATCTGCCCCTGGGATGTAGGGGTTATTCCAAATTTGTTGGTAAAGCCCATGTTTTAGCTGTTCTGCTGGACCCTGAGCAATGGGCAAAAATGGTTTCCCTTCCCTGCTATTTTTACATTTGGGTAGGATGCTGCAGCCTTCCATTTTGGACACAGTCTTCTCTCTTTTGTAACCACTGGAGTTGCCCCGAAAGACACTCAAACTTCAGCTCACACAAAACGCCAGCCTGCTTGCTCAGCAATGCTTGTCACAGGGAGCATGCAACATCCATGTCCCAGAGTCTATATTAAACCATTTCCAGGTGCACTTAAAAGTCTCATTTTTGGCCTACAAAGAGCTCTACAGTTGGTGCACAAGCTCCTTTAGTCCTGCTGATTGCCTGACACCAAGATGTTCTAGGAGGTTGATGCCTGGTCGTTTTCAAAAAGCAGGCCTCAGATCTTCATAAGAATAACCAGACTGGGTCAGACCAAAGGTCCATCTAGCCCAGTATCCTGTCTTCTGACAGTGGCCAATGCCAGCTGCCCCAGAGGGAATGAACAGAAGAGGTAACGATCAAGTGATCCATCCCGTCGCCCATTCCCAGTGTGACAAAATCAGGCCGGACAGCTGCAAGAGGGTCTTGGAAGGCCGATATGTGAGCCCTAGAATGTTAAAGGCCCTTTTTCCTACAAGTTGAGAAGGGCTTACCTCAGGTCAGTCAGGGACACCTGAATCCAATTAAGGGCTGCCTGAGATCTTTACAAAAACCCTCCTCTGGGCAGAGAAACAGGGGAGAGAGAGAGAAGGGGACAACCTGCTGCCAGGCTAGTGGCAGCAGGGAAATAAGCTGCTCCAGGCTGAGAGGCTGTGCTCCTTCCCATGGGGGAAAACAGCAAAACCTGAGTGCCTGCTAGGGGAAGGACTGACACCCCAGGGCAACCAACAGGGAGACACCCTGCCCCAACGAGGAGGCAGCGAAAGGTATCCCCCAGTGGTTTTGTGTTTATCAGACTGTTTCCTTTTTGTTTGGTGGAGGATCACCCCTTAGGCCAACCCTCAGGCCTGCCCTGAAAATACGACCAAGGGAGCACAGAAGGGGGAAGGCAAAGCCTGCCCTGAGTGGAGCGGATTACCCCAGGCCCACCACGGCCAGAGGGGGAAGCGCAAAATCTGGCGAGACGAAGGAGGTGCCTTGCCACACCAGCTTCTGGCAAACAGAGAGTAGGGACACCATTCCTGCCCATCCTGGCTAATAGCCATTGATGGACCTATCCTCCATGAACTTATCTACTTCTTTTTTGAACCCTACTATAGTGTTGGCCTTCACAACATCCCCTGGCAAAGAGTTCCACAGGTTGACTATGCGTTGTGTGAAGAAATATACTTCCTTTTGTTTGTTTTAAACCAGCTGCCTATGAATTTCATTTGGTGACCCCTAGTTCTTGTGTTCTGAGGAGTAAATAACACTTCCTTATTCACTTTCTCCACACCAGTCATGATTTTATAGATCTCTATCATATCTCCCCTTAGTTGTCTCTTTTCCAAGCTGAAGAGTCCCAGTCTTATTAATCTCTCCTCACATGGAAGCCGTTCCATACCCCTAATCATTTTTGTTACACTTTTCCAATTCCAATATATCTCTTTTGAGATGGGGCGATCAAGATCTGCACTCTTCTGCTGATCTGACAGATTATGAGGTGGCTTCACAGTACAATGCAAAGCCCTCCTGACATAATACTGGAGCTGACTGAAGTTCATTTTTCTTGGTACGTAAGGGAGGGAAGGAGAGCAGGTTACTGGGATTCAGGAGACCCTGGGCCCAATTTCTTACTCTGCCAAAGACTTCCCGTGTGACCTTGGAAAAGTCACAGTTCCTCACTTGTAAAAACAGGCACACTAATCCTTCCCTGCCTCACAAGGGTGCTGTGAGGATAAATATATTAAAGACTGTGAGGTGCTGATACTGTTACCATTTTAATTAGTCCCTGCACTAAGTACTCCAATTAGTGCATTTTAAAACCTAAATAAGTTCACAATGTCCACATGTAGCACAGTCCACAAGCAACCCGCCCTTCCCTTCCCCCACAATCCCCCAGGTGTGCTGCAGCCTAACACCCCAATGAAATAAAATGACATGAACATGTTCACTAGAGAAGGAAACAAATGTTTACTTGGCTACCAGAGATACTGCTGCAGCTATGCATTGGTTTAAATGGGAAGGAACTACTTGTTAGGGCCACTCTCCACACAAGAGCCTCAGCTCTGAAACACAGCCTCTATTTGTGACCCCTTTATGGCATGCTTTAATGCCCATCTATATCCCAATGATACTGCGTAGCCAGATATAGAAGAATGGTTTCAGTCAAAGATTCTGTCATCTGAGTGCTGGGTTATGTGAATGGGCACGAAGTCAATTGTTTGGATATTTATCCTTATTTTAAATACATAATTATACAAGTGCTTCCAGCTTGGAAAACAGATGTGAAAAATAAAGTAAGTACATTTCCAAAAGGAAGTCTTGTTTCAAGCTTGCAAAAAGTTACTCTAAACAGAGTACGAATCGGTTTTAAAATGCAGTTACGATCCAAAAAGCAATTATGTAAAGATGGCCCTTTCTTACCCAGCAATCTGCTGTGCAACTTAAGAACTGTCTGATTACTCTGCTACAGTTAGCACTGCAGAGATCTCTCAGCTTTGGGAATGCAAGCTGAACTCCATTCTGCTTCATCCATCAGTTCCAAGTTAACAGTAATAAACAGTAATCATCTCAGACAGAAGCTGACCTTTCAGATCCCAAGTGGAGTTTGCAACCCTACCAGCTAGAAAATCTTTTGCCTTGCACAAAAAGCAAGAGTGACCTGGAGTCAGAGAGACTTAATGGGGAACCTCAGAGTGCCATCCTTACAGAGGAGAAACATACCACGAATTACATAATACAGTTTGCTAGAGTCCCAGATTCACCATATTTACTCTTTATGTGTTTCACCTGTCTTGAAATGAGAGCAGCAGGTACTTTGATAAATGAACAGAAAGACCATTTGATTACCCTGTAGCCTGTGCTGTGTAATTTCCTGCAGGAGCAAGAATCACATATAGCTCTATGCCTCTTGTAGCACACGGGACATTTGCTCTCTTTCTACAGAACTGGAAGGACACCGATCAGAAAACTGTATGACAAGTTAGATGGTGGGTGTGCACCACCCCTGCATGGAGGAGCATTGCCTGCTGACATTACCATGGTTCTTCTCATTCAGTAGGTTTTTGGTGGCTGGCAGGAACATCTCCATGAGTTCAGGCACCTTCCTAATAACATGCACAGCACACAGTGCTGCCTGCAAGAGAAGAGATACACAGTTAGCACACCCCTCCCTGTCACTGACTGCCTGCAGACTCCAAGCTTAACCATCTGCGGGCCAGAAACAGAGACTTCTTACGAGGATCCACTTCTATATTAGAGCTAATTTGCACACTTAACTCACCTGGAAACGTGTTAACAAGTACATGTGCAAGAACGTCTCTATACTGAGAAAATCCTGGCCAATGCCTTATGGATTTGTTAGTTCTGAACACACTGGGACAAGAGTTCTATTCTGTCCAGACCACAGATACCACCCATGCTTTACCTGCATTGCAGATAAAGGGAGGTCTTTGGACGCTAGTTATCATGCTAGTACCTGTACTCTCAGAGAAATAACTTGCTGATGTGCCGTATGCCATCCAGCACAATAAATATTAAAAGTATCCCCCCCTTCCTTCTGTCCCAGGCTTTAGATTGTAAAGAAGAAGTTTGGAAACTTCCTAAGGTACCTTTTTCCTTAGGTAAGAGTTGGATGTTTTGAGGAGTTTCTCCACTTCTCCTGCCAGGTCTCTGCACATCTCAGAGGAGCCCATGCAGCCGAGGGTGCAGAGTGCCAGCCCCTGCACATACTGCGTGCTGTGATTAAGGTCACTGCAAAAGAGACCAAGAACAAGCCTGTCAGCACGTGCACTTTACAGGACACAGGTGCAGGGAACTCTGCACATCAAGAAGCGAAACAGAATGCAGGTAAGCTGTGAGGCAAAGAAGTTAGTTATGTATGTTCCAAGGCAGCTGGGCAGTTGAGTAAGAATGGGACGCTTCAGACACACGTGGCATAGTCGCCCACCACCACAGACTCACCTCTGGAGACTTCAGGTATAACTACAGTCACAAGTGAAATGGGCTGAATGACAGCAACACCAGTGCCTGGAGCCCAGCCCAGGAGAAACAGAGGCATGCAGAGCTCCACCCTACGTCACACCTGTATCTAAGCAACAGTTGACTGAACTGGCAGGTGAAAGCACAGGGCTCAAAAGCCATCAGAAGAGTGGGGGAAATGCCACTGTTGCAGACACCACGCTCTGTGCTGCCCCAGGCAGAGAGGCAGGCCCTGACCCCATTCCTGCTTCAGCAGAAACACACAAACCAGCCACAACAAAACAACTTTGCAGCAAAGGATCCCAGCCCTTGACAAACAACAGGGAACTGTCTACAGCCATTACACTCACTTCACATAGCAGGGGACAGTGTGAACAGCTAGCCAATCCTGGGCATTACAAGGAAAAAGGGAATTTCAGATGTGTAGAGCTTCCCAAGTGATCCCCTCTGACCCCTAGACTCTTCCTCCCGGAGGGAGGAGGGATAGCTCAGTGGTTTGAGCATTGGCCTGCTAAACCCAGGGTTGTGAGCTCAATCCTTGAGGGGGCCATTTAGGGATCTGGGGCAGGGATCTGGTGCAAAAATCTGTCTGGGGATTGGTCCTGCTTTGAGCAGGGGTTGGACTAGATGACCTTTTGAGGTCCCTTCCAACCCTGATATTCTATGATCCTAAGAGGAAACAGGGCATGTGCCTCTCATCCCAGGCCCCTCTCCCTCTGTCCAGGTGAGTGACAGGAATTCCTGCTCAGAGGAGATGCGGGTGGGGAAGGGGAAAGACATGCTGTCAGAACCGGGTCATGGGCAGCCTGTGAGTATGGAGTGAGTTGGTCAGTATTGGGGCCGAAGGTCAGAGATCAATCCGGGACTAGGTCAAAACTAAAGTCAGAGTCCATTACCAAATTGAGAGTGTGCAGTCAGAATCGGGGTCAGGCCAGGTCAGGATATTTCACTGGGGTCAGCATGGGGTCAGCAATGGTCTGAGGCTAGAGACAGTAAAACAGGATCAGGGTTGGGATGCGAGCCTAGATCAAAAGCCGGGAGGTCTGCATTGCTCAGACAACTCTAGGAAAGGGCTTCCTGATTTAGATGGAGAGTGCCAGCCTACCAGGGAATCATGGAGAGCTGTCACTCATGCCCCATAGGGTGGGACTTCCTGCAGGATTTAGCCTCCCAGTTCCTCTTCGTGGCAACTGTGCCTAGGCCCTGTGGTTTCTTACATCACTCCCCCCCTCTTCAGGGCCCTTCTTTTCAGATTGCTGCGAGTTACAAAATTTCGGGATCCATTTGCTGCACTTCCCAATAATATTTGGTATACTGTGGTTGGAGGAGCATGACCTGCATATCTCCAGGAGGGGGAGGAGCATGGGACAGGACGGGGAAGAACTGGGCTTCTCTGGATGAACCTCATGAAATTCTCTTACCAGGTTGGGGGCGTGGACATGGGAGGCAGGTTGTCAAGTAAGCTCTTCAAGTCTATATGCTTCCCAGTCTACAAGGTAGGACAGGTGTCCCCAGGTGCATATGGAATTAAGGGTGGCATGCACCTCATACTCTTTGTAGTCCTGGACTTTGACCAGTAGAAATGGAGGAGTGGTTTGGCCAGGGAAGGGGTTATCACTGTAGGGTTTTAGGAGGGACATGTGGAGAACACATGGAATGTACCTTAAGGGATCAGGGATCAGCTGTAATTTGAAAGCGACAGAGTTGACTTGCTGGCAGACCCAGAGGGTCCCAGGAACGGGCAGTCTAGCTCGCAAGAAGGTCTATTGTTCAGAAGATGCTTCAAAGTGAGACAGACTTTCTAGACAACAGTGGCTCCCAGGTGAGGGGTCCTCCTTCGAGGCGAACCAAATAAGGGAGATCAGATCTTAGTGAATAGCTGCACTGAGGAAATTATGGAGTTTGAGGAGATATGGTGGCACGACAGTAGGTTTCTTGCCCTCCTCACGATAGTACTGTCCTTTTCGCGAGAAGGCATCAACCTTTCCATTTTGGGACCCAGGTTGGTAGATGATGGTGAATTTGAACAGAGAAAACAGGGCCCACCTTAGCTGCCTTCAGTTTAAAATTTGAGGCTTGCAGAGATATTCAAGCTTATGGTCTGTGAAGACCTAAACAGGGTACCGAACCCCCTCGAGGTGGTGGCACTACTCCTCGAACACAGTTTTAGTTGCAAGAAGCTCGTCTAGTATTTCGTAATTTATTTTCGCTAGGGTGAGCTTGCAAGAGATGACTAAAAATGTGCAGTGGTGCAAGACTTGCTGGGCTTGGAGCTTCTGAGAGAGTACCTCCCCATGGACCACGTTGGACACATTGGCCTCCACAATGAACATGCAGGTTGGATTGTGGTGCACCAGGATGGGAGCCATGGTGAAGGAGGAGTTGAGCTGGATGAAGTCATGCTGGGCGAAGGCATTGTGGGCTTCGGGTGACCAAGTGAACCAGATGGTCTTACGAAGGAGTGAAGTCAGGGGAACCACTTTGTGTGAGAAGTCGGAGATAACCAACCAATAAAAATTGGCAAACCATAGGAAGTGTTATAATTCACAGGGCTTCCAGGGAGCTACTAAGTCATGAATTGATGCTATCTTTTGGGAATCCATCTGAATGCCCCCTGGGGAGATGATATAGCCCAAAACTTCGAGGGAAGGCTGGTCAAGAGGCATTTTTTCAGTTTGGCATATAGTCCATGCTTCTACAGCCTTTCTAGAGCAGATCCAACATAATGACACTGTTGTTCTTGGCTCTCTGAGAACATGAGGATATCATTGAGATAAATGACATTTATCCAATATGTCCTTGAACATGTCGTTCACAAAGTGTTGCAAAATTGCAGGGGCATTGGTCAGGCCAAACAGCATTACTGAATATGCGAAGTGTCTGTACTGGGCATGAAAGGTGGTTTTTCACTCATTGGTGGCTCTTATATGCTCCAAGTGGTAAGCTCCCAAAAGGTCTTCCTTTGTGAAGATCCTGGCTGTTCGCACATGATTTAGCAATCCCAGGATAAGAGGCAGAGGATACTGGTTGTGGACTGTGACCTGATTTAGGGCTCAACAGTCCATGCAAAGACACAATGATCCATCCTCCTTCTGTATAAAAAGTACTAGGGCCCCTGCTGGGGAGATAGATTGACAGATGAAATCCTTCTCAAGATTTTCTTGGATATAGTTGTGCACTGCTGCCAGTTTATGTATCAATCCATATGGGGCCTTCAATCTATGGTCTATGAAAGGCTGGGCAAACCATGGTCTTGGTGTGGGGGCAGGATGTCCACGATTTTTTTTCTCAAAAACATCAGGTGTGTTCCTGGTATTTCTTTGAGAGACAGGGTTTTGGGCTCAAGGCAATTTCTTTCTGGCTGGCCCAGGTTACCCCTAGAGTGGTAACATCCCTCCCTGAGGTTCAGAGATTGGCTCACAGTGGGGTTGCAGGCAGATTTTTTGGCAATAATAGGAAGAAATGTTGATGCTCTTCCCCCTCCTGGAGATATGCAGGTCATGCTCCTCCAACCACAGTATACCGAATATTATTGGGAAGTGCAGCGAACGGATCCCAAAATGTTGTAACTTGCAGCAATCTCCCACGCCAACCTCGAAAAGAACAGTTTTCTGGGTTCCTGGACCAGATGACGGGGTAATCCATCAACTGTGGCTACCAGGTCCAGTGAAGGTTTGGGCTGAAGGAGAATTTGTAGAGTCTGGACCACTGTTGCATGTATAAAATTATCTGTGGCACCAGAGTTGATCCTGGCTAACTGCAGGGGAATTGAGTGCAAGTGAGGGTCCCAATGTTCTTCAGTAGAAACAAAGGTTAAGTTGCTGGCTTTCCTTTACCTCCATGATCCAAACATTTGTGACCCAGATCCATCTACATCAGTTCAAGACCTGGTTCCTCGGGCCTATGCACAGTGAGTGGGCATAGCTGTATTGGGCTCCCTTCATCTCCTCCTCTCATTTGCACACCCAGGTGTCAATACAAAGGAGAAGATCAATGAAGGTGTTGAGTCAGGTAGGTTTCTCTACATGAACTAGCTTGTCTTCTACCTCTTTGAACTGGCACAGTTGCGCTGCCATATTCCACTAGACATTAGCTACCAGTCATCAGAAATGGGCGGTGTTTGAAGTGGCGGGCCCTTGCCTTGTCTAAGTTTCCAGAGGGCGGCCTATGCCAAGTGCACGTGGCGCGGGTGGTCATCAAAAATGGCTGAGAATTCCCACAGGAGTCATCCCAGTTGGAGAGTACTGGGCTAACAGAGGAGAGGCCCATCTATCACCATCCCCACCTTTGCTTGGTTCATGGAGTACATTCAGGGATGTAGCTGGAAAAGCAGCAACACTGAACACCAGAGAGATTACTGATGAACCCAGGAAGCTGAGTAGCAGATACCGTCTCCTCAGCTGCCCCGGAACCTGCATGGCACATGTAAAAGCTGAGCATTCTTTGGGAAGAGCTTTTGCTTTTCCTGCCAGACGGCTCGGGGTCTCAGGAGGGGAGTCAAGTATCAGAGGGGTAGCCATGTTAGTCTGGATCTGTAAAAGCAGCAAAGGGTCCTGTGGCACCTTATAGACTAACAGACGTATTGGAGCATAAGCTTTCGTGGGTGAATACCCACTTCATCTGAGGCGTCCAACGAAGTGGGTATTCACCCACGAAAGCTCATGCTCCAATACGTTAGTCTATAAGGTGCCACAGGACTCTTTGCTGCTTTTTCAGGAGGGGAGGGGCAGCGCATTTCCCATTCTCCAGCGGCAGCTCAGAGAAGCTCAGAGGGGCTCCTCCAGCCATGGGAGGGTGGGGGGTCTGGGGCTCCTGCTGCGGGGCGGGGGTAGAGAGAAGGGACTGGGAGCTCTGGGGGGTGGGATTGGAGCGTCAGGCAGAAGGGGTGGGGCCGGGGGGCTAGCCTCCCCAAAGAGGGGGTCCACCCACAGTGCTGATGGACAACTTCATTGTAGTTTCTCTCAAGCCTGGCACAGATTCTTGGAGGAGGTGAGGGGAGATAAGTGACAGTATGGGAACTCTTTCACTCCACCGGTCTCCCACTGAACAAGAGAAATGTTTTTGCCACAGCTTCCTCCACAACCAAAACTGCCTCAGGTACTTGATGGGAGCAAAGATGCTCCTGTCTCCCAAACTCCAGCCCACAGGAACCTTAAGTGGCTACTAATGTTTGAATTCACAGCAGCTTCTTGCCTACAGGAAGCCTCAGTTGCTACTGTCTCATCCCTTCTCCCCACCTCACCCCAACTAGGAAACTACCTGAAAAGGACGCAGAGCTACTACCTGGAGAAAGGAGAGAACAGCACAGGATAGTCTAGGCCCTAAACACCCGAAAAGTACCTGGTTTTATTGCAGGATGAGTCATGCACCCAGCTGGGCCTGCCTAAAGACCAAGTTTAAAAAAAAGAAAAGGTGAGCCTCTGCAGTTTACAGACTCCCTGGTGGACTGGAGATGCCCTGAAAACATGTACACCTCTACCTCGATATAACGCTGTCCTCGGGAGCTAAAAAAAATCTTACCGCGTTATAGGTGAAACCGCGTTATATCGAACTTGCTTTGATCCACTGGAGTGTGCAGCCCTGCCCCCCCGGAGCACTGCTTTACCGCGTTATATCCGAATTCATGTTATATCGGGTCGCGTTCTATCGGGGTAGAGGTGTACGTAGCACATGGAATAGCGAGAGAGAACAGCGGAATTATGAGAACTTGTTTTACAGACTATTTGGGATTCAAGAACTAAAATCCCTTAATCTGGAACATGAAGTAGTCAATAAATAAGCCTTTCCCAGTGCAGCAGGCTACAACAATCTTCCTCATCTGTCACCTAAAAGGACTTTTCCACACAACACAACACGCCCCCCCCCCCGCTGCCCAGGAACTCTCTGCAAACTGGATATCATTCCTGGATATTACCACTGTGATCACCTATGTCACTGGATAATCCTAGATAACCATATGGAATACAAGTTAATACTTGTAATCATAGGTCTGCCTGCTATGGATCAATAATGCACATTTAGGGAGGGGTGTTTAGTTATCGCTTACTTTTAAATTACTTTGTTTTACAATGTTTTGAAAATAGCAATGCCTCTTGGAGGCCTGACAGACAACAGTTTGAAAACCAAGTCAGAGTCAGATCTCAGACGTGTCTGGGACTCAAATGACAAAGACCACATAGGAAATAAAATTCCCTGCTCTGTTTTCCTCTCAGCTGGCCCTGTAATTGTGGAAAGATGGGATGTTACTACATCTCCTCAGATTCCCCCTAAAATCTACTAGATGGCATTATCTTGGCTAGAGGAAGCAGTGTGAATGATAGTCAAGTGCCCAGGACAAGAAAAAGATGTTGCTGCACCCTGGAAAAATGCTAACTTGAAAACAAATTAAGAAAGCCAGATCTACTGATGTTCAGAGACTAAGTGCAGGGATCCAGCTATGGGAAAGAATAATGGCAAAAGCAGTTTGATAAAGGTCTCTGCATTACAGAGGTGTCTGGTAGTGACTTTATAATTAAGGTTGTGTTCCAAAATGGGCTTAAAATAGGACATAAATTCCTGTTGTTCTCTGAGAGTAGTTGGTTTATCAGCAAGATATTTCACAAACAGTTTCCATGCCCTTTGGATTTTCTGTGTAGTTTGATTTCTCTGAACACATTTATAATGGGAAACCTCTGAATTTGGGCTCTGTCTCATTTTTTCCCCCTTGTCAGGTACTTTTCATAGATCAATCACCAATCTTAAAAATATTATTTATTCATTCAAAAGGTGAGAGGTGTCTGCTGACTTGATCTCCTACAACAGATAAAGCTGTTTTAAACTATTTAGATTGACAGGAATTTTTAAGCAGCTATTCATGATACCACTGAAAAGTTTATGCATTGTGCACACACGCCTGATTGGAGGAGCTGTGGGGGTGGTACACAAACCTGACTGATGGGTGCCAGAAGCACACAAAACTCTGCATAAAATATTCTTTATCAGCAACTGTACTTTTGCCCCCTTCATGTTCACTCCCTACCACCCCCTCCACACTCATCCAACCCATACCCCCAGGTAAGTATAAAAACCTCAACACACACACACACTGTAGTGAAGCAGTTAGGGTTGCTGCACACAAAGCATGCCTGACACACCCACAAAAGCAAGGAAGTGAAAAGTTAAGCCACTTACTACAACATACTCTGCTCTCCTTCACCTGGGATAGCTCAGTGGTTTGAGCATTGGCCTGCTAAACCCAGGGTTGTGAGTTCAATCCTTGAGGGGGCCACTTAGGAATCTGGGGCAAAAATCTGTCTGGGAATTGGTCCTGCTTTGAGCAGGGGGTTGGACTAGATGACCTCCTGAGGTCCCTTCCACCCTTGATATTCTATGATTCTATGATTATCACAACTCCTGGACATCACAGACCATGTTGCTGCAACCTTAACTCTGCTCCCTTAGGGATGCCAGGCTTCCATCACTATCTTAACTACCTATCTGCACACCTATCTTCACCAAACTCCCAAAACAACGAACTACTACACCAAACACCCATAAAAAGTGGTGGAAACAATCCGGTAAAGGAACATGTGCAGAAAAGCAAAAGGAAGGCAGAGTTAAGTTTGTGGCATGTGGTGTCCAGTAGTTACGGTAATGATAAGGTTGAGGATGGGATATAGGGTATGTGCTGCTATGTGGCTTAACTGCTCATTTCCTTGTTTTTACAAATTTGTCAGGTATGTGCTATGGGCAACAACTCCTCCACAAAGATTTGTGTATTAATTATTTTTAATTTTTGTATCACAGCAGCAACTGGGGTCTCCAGCCAAGATCCGGTCTCACTATAAACCCTACATAACACTGAAAGACAGTTGACACATTGAGTAACTTACAGTCTAGATTAAAACAGGACAAAGCGGTGGGGTAGCAGACAGAGGAAGGTGAGGAGAGAAAGATAATAGTCAGAAAAATGCCAGGTTATGTAAACCAGCTGTATGCACAATTCCCAACTCAACTCCCAGTACCTGTTCCCCTAAAATTAGACTTCTTTGGGGATACAACAATCAGCCGCCTAATGTAAGTGGAAGGGAGCTAGCTGGAGGCAAGGCATTTTCAGTGAAGGGTCTTCAGTTCAAACTCCTTTGCTCTCCCCACCACTTGGTCCAACAGAGATATTCACATCTGAATTCAGAACAAGATGTAGGAAATCAATGTTCTCCTGTTGATGGGATCCCCTTTTGGGGGACAGGCAGTGGCAGCGGTGAAGTCAGTCAGTGGGAACTGGGAGGCTGAGATTTAATTTTTTATTTAGATTTCTCAGATACTCACCTGTGATTGTGCCTAGAGTATCTGAGAAATCTAAATAAAAAAAATAAATCTTAATCTCCCAGCTCCCCTGACTGGCTTCTCCCCTGACTGGCTTCCCCCCTTCCCCACCCCGCAAAAGGAGGCCTCATCAAAAAGAAAACACTGATTTTCTACACCTTGCTCTCCATTCAAACCTACTCGTCTTCAATAACATCCTTATGGAAGCCTCACAGTTTCCTGTCTGTTACTGTTCACAGCTCAGGGAGATTCCAAACCAGCTGAACACCACATCCCAGAAAGGTGCTGCCTTGCCCCTGCAGCCAACCAGTGCCCCATCACAACACCACACCCAACCAGGCCAAACTCTCAGAACAGAGTAGAGCTAGAGTCACACCCTAGAGTCACACAACTTATAAGCGCCCACCTATATTTATAAATACAATTGAGTCAGGGGACCAGTACAAGATGGCTGCAGCACTGTTCAGAGCTTTAGCCTAAGGTCCAGTCTACACTCCATATTGCAGCTGTGTTATAACCAGATCCTCTGAATTCAGTCATATGTATGGTGTGGATGAGCCCTAAGTGATTTTGTGCTACCCTTAATTATTCAATCAGGGCTTGCTCTGCTGCAAGAGGAGAAGGTAACTGCCCCCTCAGCGTCTCTAGAAGCTGTTCCACCAGCTACAGGAAGCCCATTACAACCATATTAGCTTCCTTTTCTTTTAAGGAAAGTTTTAATGACAGGATGTTCCATTCTCTCAGCCACTAATTACACACCATCACCAAGTAAATGCCCAAGACATGGAAGTTCCACGCATTACATGGCTCTCTGCTATACGCACCAAGTTTCAAAAACTTTTTAGGGCCATAGCAGTCTGGAGCTTAGCAGCAACCAAACACGCAAGGTGACTCAAAAATGGCCTGGGCACTACTAGTGGCATTAGGGATTTCTAGACTGAAGTTCCCCCTTTTCAAACTAAATGCCAGTGGAGAATTGAGGCGTCCAAAAAGTTATTATCAGGAGCCTAACTGTGGTTCTGAAATCCCTACACACATTTGTTGATGGGGAAGGAGAGGGTAGTCTTACTTCTTGATGCAGTTGGTCATGAGAAGGTGGACATCCTGTCTCTCATCCAGTAGCAGCATGGCACCTAAGTACCCAATGCGCTTGTCTGTGAATTTCTGAGAGGCAATAAGTTTGAGGCACTCCAACTGCAAAAAAAACATAGATAAATCAGTATAAATCATACTCCTGTGCTGGGAGCAATAATAGTTTGCACTTGTATAGTATCTTCCGTCCAAGTATATCCAAGTGCTTCATTAAGTTAGTATTATCTCCATTTTAAAGATTAGGGAGAAAAGCAACCCATGACCTGCCTAAAGTCTCAACAAGTCAGAAGAGGAGCCAGGAACAAAACTCAAGTCTCTTGATGTAGCTACCAGACCATGCTGCCTCTCATGGCTATGAAACTCTCTTAAAGTGTACTGGAGATCCATGGGCATGAACTAAAACAGGGTGACACAGAAGTCATCAGTAAGTGAAAGACATCATCCATCATCATTCAAGGCATACTATAGGTCTGCACAAATTAGAAATCCATTTCAATACCAGTCTAATAGAGAAAATCCATCATGGATACAGAGAGAAAAGAAACTGACAAACCCAATCTCTTTATATAATTGTATATTGGATTCATACCCCAAAATTCCAGCACCCATGAAATATCACCTATTAATTAAATATACACTTACTAATTGAGTGTATGTAAGACATTTGACCAAACAAAAAGAGCAGATCTTGGTAATATTGAAAATAAAAAACAGTACCTTCAAACAGAGGTAGAATAAGGAAGTTTTTAAATGTTGGGGCAAATGTCACTCTGATAAGTGGAAGGATTTCATTAGGATGGACAACCCTTAAAACAGATGTAAGTGATATATTAAAAAAATAAAATAAAGTGTAATATGAGTTGATACAGATTGCTTAACTTTATTAACAACTTCCAGGGAAGAAAAAAACTAAAGCTATCAGTATTAGAAAATTGTATACACGTGCTTGAAGTTTCAGCAATCAAGATTACTGCTGGAATGTATAACCTCATGACTGTGTTTTTAAAAAACAAACTGCATAAAGTTGTTATGGAATATAGACTGTAAATATGAAACAGCAGCAAAATAACGGAATAAAATAACAGAAAAGGTTGGTGAGGTAATATCTTTTATTGGACCAACTTCTGTTGGTGAAAGAGAGAAGCTTTCAAGCTACACAAGTCCAGAACTGAAGAGCTGTGTGTAGCTTGGAAGCTTGTCTCTTTCACCAACAGAAGCTGGTCCAATAAAAGATAAATCTCACCCACCTTGTCTCTCTAATATCCTGGGACCAACACAGCTACAACACCACTGCAAATGGAATCAGATAATGCAAATTATAAGTACTGGCTCTAACACTAATCAATTAGTGCAAGTTCAGTACTATATAACATACTATAAAGTATGTCTCTCCATCTCTATATAACAAAATATATATTACCCCGGATATCTATATGAAATGCAAAATAGCCAGGTTGGGAACTCTGGATGGTAAAAAAAAAAAATGGAAAACCATCCTGAAAGTAGAAAAAATATTAGAGATAGAACTCAAACAGGACTTCAAGACACATACTGTATTGAGAAACTGCATGTTAAAAGGACTCAAACTGGGAGTAAAGAAGCTAGTTCTGCTCTTGCTCTTTATACCAAAAAAGGCAAACTTAAATTTGTGGACCCAGACGATTACTATTATAGCTCACTGGAAAAAACTATTAATACAATATCTTGTAGTGGAAGACAAACATTATGAAAACAGTGCAAGAGAATTTTTTTTTAAATGGATAGAAGTAAAAGTATACATTGCACAAAAAAACAAAATAATAGAAATACTGAAATCACAGAGATGCTTTGATATAGACATGGTAATCCTATAGTTATAGGATAGTCAAGAAGGATATACACAGAGGATACCTGAATTACATAACCACTCCTCCTCTAGCTCTCTCTTTCTTCTGCTGACACTGTGCGCTCCTGCCCCACTGGGGGAACATTTAGCTTCCCACAATGAAAATTAATACAAATGGTTAAATATATATTTATCATATTATGTTTGTGTTTAAATAATTGGGGGGGGGGAAGAAATGGTAATGATATATGGCCAATATACAACACGTTGATGAAAATTGTTAATTCTGTAATAAGACATTGTAATGGGCTGCATGGCGTGCCCTTGCGTATCCAACCCCTTGGCCCTGCTCCTCACAGACTCAGGGACACTCCAAGCTGGTGCAACACCCGTGCCCTTTATTTGTGTCCGTTTTCCACCACCAGTGTCCTACTATATACAGGCTATTTACAGTGTCATGGCTTAACACCAGCCTGGTCAGCAACAGAGTAGCAGGCTCCTACATCTCCCTGAGCCTCCCGTCTCTCGTGGTCTCCGCCCCACCGTCCACTCACTTCCTCTAAGCCTTATAGCTCCTACTTAATGAGGCTGGCAGATGCAGTCAGTGATTAGGCAAACCTTCCTTGGAGGTTTTTAAGGCCCGGCTTGACAAAGCCCTGGCTGGGATGATTTAGTTGGGAATTGGTCCTGCTTTGAGCAGGGGGTGGGACTAGATGACCTCCTGAGGTCCCTTCCAACCCTGATATTCTATGATTCTATTTACCCAGCCCCAATCTATTCCCCCTGATTGGGGCTGGAGCAGCAGGAGCTGATGGAGGCTTCCCCAGCAACACCCTGCCACAGACATGTACCTATAAAAAACAAGACAATATAACTAATGTCTTGCTGTAAATAATCTTAAATATTAAAATAAAATATTCCTCCCAAAAAAACCATCGTAACAGTGAATTTAAAGGAAAACAGAAAAGATCTGCACAGTAGAAACCCTATTATATAAACTAACTGGGAATTGAGACGTTCATAAAATGGAACATCTCAAAGTTACAACAGGTACAGTGCACTGCACTGCTTTCTCCTTGTTCTTCAAAACCACTGCAAAGTGACAGCCATTGCAATGTGAAGGGATGTTGACTTGCTCTTCATCAATATCACTCCTTAGGTGACACTCTCCCGCCCCAGTCAAGAAAAATGGCCCATATGGTGCTCAAAAGATCACTGTTTGTAAAATGGAGGTTCTAATGTAATTAAAATAATGTAAACTATTTAAAATCACAACCCAATCAAGATGTGTAGCCTTACTGTGGCAATTTGGGTGATGTGCTGCACCTTTGAGGTATCCTAGAGCAGCGTTTCTCAACCTTTTTGATACTAGGCACTGGCTTTCTGCCTTTCTAAACTGTGTCAGGGAGATCTCAGGGACTGGTGTCAGTCCATGGACCAGTCATTGAGAAACACTGCCCTAGAGAACATTTAAACATATACTAACCCATATCCTAAACCAGGCTAAATTAGAGATTAACTGGTCTGACAATTTAGAAGAGAGATTGGTAATTCACTGAATACGAAGCTTGCAAAAGGAGGTTTGATGGCTGGCATGTTTCTACATCACACAGGCCCCATCTACACTAAGAAACTGAGCCAGATTTTGAAACGGCTTTTAAATACAGTATCTCCTCGCTTAACGTTGTAGTTACGTTCCAGACAATCAACAAGCTGGAACTGGTCTTGTGGTTCCCAGACCAGGTAAATATAAACCTCACAGGAGGAAAAGCAACTCAGAACTGGTCTACACTACCGAATTAGGTTGATGTAAGGCAACTTATGTCGACCTAACTCTGTAAAATGTAGCTCCCACTGATGTAAGTCACCCACAACATCGACACAATAATGCCACCTCCACGAGAGGCGTAGCACTTCAGTCGATGTAGTAGGGTGACACGTTACATACATCGCCTGTTTGTCATCCCTGCACAGGGTTAACAGCTGGATCCCCACTGCCCGCGTCCCACAATGCCCCACACAGTTAAATCAGTGGAAGTGCTCCGGATGGGGACATACACTGCCAACAGAAGCAGCACAGTGTGGATGTGAAACGCCACTTTAATTAGTGGCTGTACGTTGACTTAATTTTGTAGTGTAGACATGTCCTTAGTCTGCTCAATGTCACTCCAGGGCTTGGAACTCACTCCTGCCTGACAGTGGCAACAGACTCCTCAAGCCTTAGCCTGCTCCAGCCTTACTCTTATTCTCTCCCTGTACCTAGTCATGCTCCAGCCCTGCTCTTGCTGCTGCCCTACTCCTGCTCCAGCCTCACTCCAACTCTGCCCTGGACTCCTGATTCCAGCTCCAACCACTATGCTTGACCATCCCCATTCCAGTTTCTGACAATTTGAGCAGACCCAGTTGGGCTCAGTGGCCAAGATAGATCTCCTATGCCAGCAGGTACCCCCTACAATTAAAATGAAGTCTCCAGGCAATCCTGCCACTGATATGGCAGAACTAGTTCAAGGTCTCCAGAATCAAGTGGCCTAGCTACAACGCAAAAATGCCTTCTTATGTTTGCAGGTCCCAGGCTCCCTCGTGCCATCAGGCACAACAGCCCAAAGTCTAGGCCCAAAGATCCCACTATCGGAGAAATTTGACGGGAACCATCAGACATTTCATGGGTTCCTCAGTCAATGTCATCTGCTGTTCTGTTGGGCCCACCCGTGTACCCAAACAACCAGACCAAGGTAGGAATCATCACCAGCGTATTGACAGGCAAAGCACTGGATTGGGCAAGGAGACCCGATTCTCAATGACTTTGATGAATTCGTTCGTGTCTTTTCACTCATGTTTGATGACCCACACTGTGCCCGCTCCACCAAAGTTACCCTGCAGTCACTCAAACAAGGCCCCCGTCCTGTTGCGACCTATGCCACCCACTTCCGTCATCTGGTCTCAGACATGGCCTGGAATGAAGCAGCACAGATTTATCATTTCTATCTAGGCCTGAACGATGAGATTAAAGACAAACTGGCCCGGGTTGATACCTCCACAGCACTACTGCCCTACATTAAGCTATGTATCCAAATTGACAACCGTTTGAGTGATGCCAGGAAAGGAAGGAAGGTACACACTCGGTCCCTGCCTAGTCTTGTCCCATTCCTGCCACACACACACACACACACACACAGGTAATTGCTGGACCCGAACCCATGCAGGTAGACCTGACAAAACGGCGCCTCTCAGATCGAGAGAAGGAATATCGTCATCTGAATGACCTCTGCCTGTACTG